ACTGTAAGTATAAGATCTTATTCAATTCTCGTTATTTAGATTGCTAAAAATACAATTTGTTTTGTATTAGATTTTAACGACATCTTGTTTCAAATATTGACACGGCTTCTCAGAACATTTAACATGTGTCTTAAAAAGATAACTGAGCCGTGTCATGACAAAACCAACTTAATGGGTTTGCGACCAGCATGGATCCAGACCAGCCTGCGCATCCACGCAGTCTGATCAGGATCCATGTTGTTCGCTATCAGTTTCTTTACTTGTTTATAGGGTTGGTAAGCGAACAGCATGGATCCTGATCAGACTGCGCGGATGCGCAGGCTGGTCTGGATCCATGCTGGTCGCAAACCCATTATGTTGGTTTTGTTGTGACGCGGCACAACTATGAAAGTTCATACACTCCAAAAGGCATTTCATCTAGAAAATGAATAGAAATACCCTCTTTACGCCAAAACATGGAAAATTGTAATAATACATGTAAATATTTATTAGCAATGAATTAGCGTTACACAACTAGATCTGCTATTTCATTTGTTTGTTTTTTAATTGGCACATTGAATTTTTATAAGGTGGGCATCAATAGTTTGGTGCATTTATATGGTCTTGCTTTAACATAAGCATGCTACATATAACAATTTAGCAATAATACATCTTTGCAAGTTGGTTGATATATTATTTGTCAATACATGTATTATATATTTTACATTTATGACCCAATCTTATACCAATCTTGTCAAAACAAACAAACCTTACACGGAAAACTTAGTCAAAATGGGAACCAGCTTTGAATTGGTATATATACACGGTATGTTGAAGTTTGTAGTACACTTCTTCAAATCTATAGTCTCCAAGTACATGAAAACTAGTTTTTTTATTTTATTTTTATTTTTCGAAATAAAGGTCAATATTTTCACATTTATAGACGGCAAGGTGTTTTTTCCTGGTGAGATAACTAAATGCATACATATAACGCTTAAATAACAGACGTTCCCAAAATTGAAATTGCCTGTACCGAGACTATTCAAACATTCTATTCAATTTCAGGTTTTTCTTGTATTCGTATATAGCAATAATTAAATGAAATAATGTAATAATTTTCAACAACAAAAAAAATCAATTTAATGAGCTTTAATATGAAATATAAAACACGGAAGCGGAATATTACAAACACACAGAAAAATCATTAGATTTCCAATAAATCGTTTTTCTTTTATCACAATGACATTTCAAAGAAAGCAACAGAAAACTAATTATGCCACTCTTTCATGATAAAGTACACGCAGGAATAACAACTTTCATAATGATTTACCCAAATGACTGTTTTCGTTATTTTCTTTTTATATTTATTATAGTGTATAACTATACTACAATACACCATGATTTATTCTGATAAGGTATGACTATACTACAATACACTATGATTTATTCTTATAAGGTATAACTATACTACAATACACTATGATTTATTCTTATAAGGTATAACTATACTACAATACACTATGATTTATTCTTATAAGGTATAACTATACTACAATACACTATGATTTATTCTTATAAGGTATAACTATACTACAATACACTATGATTTATTCTTATAAGGTATAACTATACTACAATACACTATGATTTATTCTTATAAGGTATAACTATATACAAAAATACACTATGATTTATTCTTATAAGGTAAAACTATATACTACACTACACTATGATTTATTCTGATAAGGTATAACTATACTACAATACGCTATGATTTATTCTGGTAAAGTATAACTATACAACAATACACTATGATTTATTCTGGTAAAGTATAACTATACTACACTATGATTTATTCTTATAATGTATGACTATACTACAATACACTATGATTTATTCTGGTAAAGTATAACTATACTACACTATGATTTATTCTGGTAAGGTATGACTTTACTACAATACACTATGATTTATTCTTATAAGGTATGACTACACAACGATACACTATGATTTATTCTTATAAGGTATGACTACACTACAATACACTATGACTTATTCTTATAAGGTATGACTACACTACAGTACACTATGATTTATTCTGGTAAGGTATAACTATACTACACTATGATTTATTCTTATAAGGTATAACTATACTACAATACACTATGATTTATTCTTATAAGGTATGACTATACTACAATACACTATGATTTATTCTTATAAGGTATGACTTTACTACAATACACTAAGATTTATTCTTATAAGGTATGACTATACTACACTATGATTTATTATCATAAGGTATGACTATACTACAATACACTAAGATTTATTCTGGTAAGGTATGGCTACACTACAATACACTATGATTTATTCTAATAAGGTATAACTATACTACACTATGATTTATTATTATAAGGTATAACTATACTACCATACACCATGATTTATTCTTATAAGGTATGGCTATACAATAATACACTATGATTTTTTCTTATAACAAAAAATTGATAGAAATAATTGCCATGCAAACTTTTATTTATGTGATAAGTCGGAAACCATTTAACTTTCATTCTTGTAGACAACAAAGTAAAATGATTTGTGAAGTTTTTCATGTATTGATGATGCCACATTAACACATTGATTAGACAATAACAGATTCAGGAAATTTTACTGCATGCAAAGTCACTTAAACTGATAGCAATACATGTACTTTAAATTTGATTATTTTTAGGTCATGTAGCTTTGATTAAGTAATTCTTGGTTTGGTGTAAATAGTCCAAAGTTTGACGTCATTTATTGCTTCCAACGGAATAAGTAATAGAAAGAGCATCGAACCACTACGAGGGGCGTAGTCCTCAAGTTTAAATCAGATTGGCGGGTGTTTTGATTTTCTTTTTTCTTTTGTATCATAGGTAAAAATAAAATAAAAACGTTCCCTGTCGTCCCAATATTAAACACCAGAAAAATTAACCAATATAGAGCATCAGAATATGGCGTTTATATTGTTATCTCTTTCCCAGTAACTTCTCGGGAAAAATGAGCCAATCAACGAGCATGCTCTAGATAGACAGTGAGTGCGAGTAACTAATACCTGCGCTATTCATGTATTAGTCTATCGTTATTGGGCTTTTGCCCAACGCAGAATGCGCATGTGCGAAATGCAACATCGGTTGCTATGGAAAAATCGTACTGTAAAAAGGTCTATACGATTCAACTCTGACACGTTTTCAACAGTAAAGTTTGCAAACTTTGATACAGCAACTTGAAAGATTCGTTCTAATCATGTAGTGAATTACAGCGAATGGTAATATCAGAGGGGTTACGTATAGTCACATTTGGGATTAATTCCAATGCTTATACTAATGTTATCACTTTCATCTTGTCTTCAAGCAGAATATATAATGGAACTCACACTTCAATAAGTCAGTTTATCTGTATATCTAACAGAAACGTGTGACGATACAATAACACCGGGCCAACAATAGACGAATTAAAAATCAATTTGTAATATTGTTATTCTCATTTGTAAGGTCATTTGTAATTTTGGTACATCTATAATATGCTTATTTATCGTAATAATCACAAGATATTGCGTAAACTATCTCTTTTTACCTCAAGAACCCTGAACGTAAGAAACACTCATATTAATGTCAGAGTTTAATAATATTAAATGTTGTCTTGTGTGTAATATGTATTTTCCCATTTCATTTGATGTTTACTGATCATGTTTTTCCTTCTATGCAACTTACAACGCATTTTGCCAATTTTCATTTCCATGCGATTGAATGTATTATTTTCTGTTCAGTTCTGCTCTACAATCAACAATGTTTGCTATGCACATCATTTACTGTAATCGTGTCGCAAACAATTAAACAGAAGCCGTAGTATCTAAAATTCTTAATCATGTTATCAAGATGATTAAATTAACCTTTTTAAAAAATATTTAATTTTCCTTTTTTTTATTCCGAGTGAATACATCAAGGATTAAGCACTACCATTTGCCAATTATGAACATGTACATTATCACCATCAAATAACAGTCTCATGAAATTGAAGAAATTCAAGCATAAAGGGTCGGAAAATATTCATTACTGTATTTATTTTATTCAATAAGTATTATTATTTAAATTAAAGTTTGCCAGATGCTGTCTAATCCCGTTTATGCTACCTTAGCATATGTAGATCTATACAGGTGACAAATCGCAACTTTTCGGCCTTTTCCGTCAATCTTCGGCAAATCGTCGAGGTGTTCCGATTGGTAAATTACAGTTTCGTTTTTCTCAATCCTACGTTTTCTGGCTCTTAGATATTTTAATTGTGTAAAGTATTTCTTTTCTCTCTTTTTTCACATTTATTATAGACTTTGGATACATTCAAATATTGCGAACGTTATTTGAGATAGATTAGATTGCGAAACATATATTCTGTTGATTGGGCATCATTTCTGCTATAATGTAAAAAAGAAAGAAAAAAGTTTATTATTTCAAATGTCTGGAAATTAATTAATTTGAAATTGGATAGGATGAAATTCTTGGAATTGTAATCTATAATAAACCAGGAGACATGGTGTACATCTAAATGAGCTGAAATCGATATGCAAAGGTACATAAATTTTGTTAAAAATATCAGCTTTGCGATGCAAATATTTAACATGACCAAGGATTTTATTTAGAAGTTCTTTTATGACCAAAATATGAGAGTAAAGATCATCAAGGGAAAGAAACGTTCACTATAGACGCATCCTCCACAATATCCAGGGTCTTATCAAATTTCTATTTAAAAGACCCTGATAATATCCAACCACACGACCTAGGTCCACTGATAATGTACTAGTCTGTATCATCCGGACGTTTGAATCTTGTCACCAACAAACGCTCAAACGTCTTGATGATACATATTATATATGTACCCAATTGGGCCATAGCAAACAAGACAAAAATCTAGTGTTCTGACAATTCAATGTTTGGCCACACTTGATTACGGCTCTGAGATAATCATTTATCGATAAAAACCAAAAATATTTTTCGTTTATTTTATTTCTATTTTCAATCGAACTGATTGTAAAAGCGCACAACTATAACATTTGCTCCACAATAAACGAAACGAAACGAACCATTCTTAATGCCACAAGTAACGCTCCTCGACAAGCTGCCCTCCAGATCAAAGCACCGTTTCTCTTTACCCATTGACCATTATTGATGACAAAAAAATCACATTAACAAGAATAAAAAATCAAAATAAAAGATAACATTCAATGTTTTTCGTAAAATTATTTATAAGCATTTTTTCCTTCTCTTTATAATTCCACATAATTTAAGATCGTAAAGTACAAAAAATGTAAATACACTGTACTTGTCGAAGTCTAAAGTTGCTTGACATTACTTGCAACGTTAATCAACACAAAAAGCTCTGTTTTCTTTTCAAGAATCCAATCACATCTTTTTTCATCACATTTCAATACAAAGAAGGTGTTTCGCCATTGGTGCTCCTAATTTTGCAATCATGTTGTCTTTCCCAAAAATATATTTGTATGTTCTCCATTTTCCTCAGTATAATTTGAGAAAGAAGATATTTGGGAAGTGGCACAATCACGCCTTATACATGCACTATGAGATTCTTGTAATCCAAATCAATAAAACGAAATGATTTGGTTACCGAATCGTAGTCTTAAATAATTAAAGAGAGTGCCACTCTTGTGTTACTAGAAATAAACAAAAGCAAAAACTACAGTTTGTCTAGTAAACTATTGGCAAGGAGTTTAGCATATTGCTTAAAAATGTAAAAAATAAATTTAAAACAAAACAAAATCTGGAAACAATTGAGCAGTGGTGTAAAAAATAAAATAAATGATTTTTTGTGACTAAATGACGGAAGGTGTACCATATACAATTATTGCACAGCTTAGGAAATGACTAATTCCATCTTAGTACAAAAAACATAAAAGCTTTTACAGTAAACTCTTATGGTTGAGTAATTTCGTTCTTTAGTATTGACCATTTTTAAAGAACCTATATTGTATAATGTGATATGTTTAAAAACAGCACATGTGCATTCTGAAAGCGAACAGAACAACAATAAAAGGCTAAGTGACACTCTCTGACGGTTGTTCTTCATTTTCTTTTTTCACTTCTGTTCTAGAATCATTTTCTTTGAGATTAGTTGAAGGTTTCGAGCCAGCGTCTGCCTGACTGCCTAACTTTAATGCAGGATTAATACCGGCTTCCATCTGAACACCTAGCAAATTAGCCATGTCCGACTGCAAAGAAAAAAACAACAAGCGGTAATTAAGGTTCCTTATTTATGCTTATTTATAGACCTCATTTTAAGATTAGATTTGAGCGTATTTTAAATGTAAATAGTCATATTTTTAATCATTAAAATTATAACCAATATTTAAAAGTGATTCACTGAATTCAAATGTCAGTCACATAGGTGCGATGATGACAAAAATGACCTTTACATAAAAAAAATGAAATAATACATTGATGACATTGCCAAATAAACTTGGAAACTGGAAATTTAGAACTACAATAGAATCGCCAATGTAATTGGAAATATAGAAAAAATAACCTTGAAATGTAGAACTATAATGAAATCGCCAATAAACTTGGAAATTAAGAACAATTAACTTGGAAATTAAGAAAAATTATCCTGGAAATTAAGAACTATTGATATCGTCATTTAACCTGGAAATTAACAATCATACAGATATTGCAGATGTACCTGGAAATTTAGAACTATAAATAAATCGTCAATTAACATACAAATTTTTATAACTATAGATCGCCAATTAACATACAAATTTTTATAACTATAGATCGCCAATTAACATTTAGAACTCATTGTTACCTGCCACTGATCTAGAAGTTGGGAGACTTTATTTTTCTGATGAATGGCTTCCATTAGCTGATGGTTTAATACAATGATCTCATACTTGGACTGCTGGAGGTCCTTCTCCATCGAATATCGTCTGGAAAAAACAACAACAACAAAATTGTGATATATAATGTCACATCAATTAACATTAACATTAACTATAATATCCACATACAAGAGATAATTTCTCGACTAGTGTATGGTTGTGTTCAACATAAATATACAAATATAGCCGTGTTTTATTTCTGTATTCTATTTATAGTAACACACACGACGTCAAGCCTGTCACATGGATGACAATGCCTGTTCATAAACTTTACAGATAAATATCAATTGTCTTTCAGATTTAATTCTAGTATTTTGCTATGCACGTATAACTCTCAAAATATACTAACATCTTTTATCGTGAATTTAATAAAAGATTTCATTACATAATTATGCGTTTCTTTGTCTTTAAATCTTATTTACATGCACATGTAGCTTCCGCGAACTTACTTTTCTATTGCCGCATCCCGTTCTCTCCGCGCATGCCTAAGAAGTGCCATAGCGCTATACATTTGTGGTTTGGTAGTGTCGGGTGCCAACATATCCTGTAGTTTGTCACGCTGATTCGAAAGAATTTTAATATCTTCATGTTGTGATCCAACCTGTAGTTTTAAAAAGGTACAAAATGTAAATGTGTATGAAACAGCTGTTACTTTATCTTCTCTTAATGAACACAAACTGTTTAGATCTTTTTAGCAAATGCAAAATTTCAGAATTGCAAAAATCAGCAGATATAGATTTCTTCAAATATTCTATACGGATAAATTCGTAATCTAATGATAAATCCGTGAAATACTGAATTATGTAATGGAATTGTCCTGCTTTGAATTTAGATTAGTCCATTTGAGGTGAAAGGGATGTTAACATCAAAGCTACCAGCAAATGTCGAGCCTATTTAGTCTGAGCGGATTTGCAATCTGGCCTGGCTTTATACTGGTTGCAAAAGCTCATCCCTTAATTTCCGTTTCAGCAGATTTATTATTATGGAATGACATACTTGTCTGGACAATTCGGTGATCTTGTAAGACTTCTGTTGAAGATGAACATCACGAATGTGTAATTGTTCTTCAAGTTTCTGGAGGTTTGTTTGACATTCTGTAAGATCCCTCTCAAGCTCGCCAACTCGCTGTTGTAATGAATGGATTTCTTCTAGATGTGTTGTTTGAGTCTGAAAAATAAATGCAAGGAGGATTTTTATAAAGCATTTATTTTGTAAAACTAGACAAATTTAGCTTTCCTAGGCATCTCTTTGTACCACGTGATTACATTATCGATTTTGAAGTTATTCATAACATTCATCCGCTTATTTGCAATGACTGTTATGCCAGTAGGAAGGTAAACAATTGGCGCATTAACCGTGAAATGGCCATATTGCAAGATATGCAAAACCGATTCACGTACCGTTATTGTCTACAAAAATAAAATCGGAAAACCAACATGAGTTTCTATCTTACCTGGTTAGCTTGCTGTATTGCACCGTGTATAGTGTCCCGTAGTTCTACCACCACGTCGTTCAAACTTCCGGAATCGTCAGAAATACTCGATGCACCAGCATCCTCGTCTACTTTGTCAGAAACTTTGTCACCTAATTGTGCTTTGATCTCCCGACATATCTGACGCAAATGCTTGTAGGCGTGTACAATTTCATTTTCCATCTGTGTAAAAATACAATTAAATATTATTTTCTATAGTAAAAATCTTTTTAGAGAATACCTATTTGATAAAAGATATGATAAAGATACTATGGCGGTATGATAGAAATATAATAGAGATAAGAAGGAGTTGTAATGGAGGTATTATAGAGATATGACATACGTAACAGAGATAAGAAATAAATATGATATAGATATGATGGAGATATAATAGACGTATTATAGAGATATGCTACAGGTCTGATAGGGCAATTATAGAGATTTTATAGAAATAAGATAGAGATATCACAGAGATATGATAGAAATGTGATAGAGATGTGATAGATACATTATATAGAGATGTGATAGATACATTATATAGATGTAATAGATATGATACAGATGTAAAAGAGATATGATAGAGATGTGATAGAAATATTATAGAGATGTCATAGAGATATGATCGAGATGTGATAGAGATGTGATGGAGATATAATAGAGATGTGATAGAGATGAGATAGATATGTGATAAAGATGTGATAGATATATGATAGAGATATCACAGAGATATGATAGAGATGTTATAGAGATATGATAGAGATATGATAGAGATGTTATAGAGATATGATAGAGATATGATCGAGATGTGATAGAGATGTGATAGAGATATGATAGAGATGTGATAGAGATATGATAGAGATGTGATAGAGATATGATAGTGATGTGATAGAGATATGATAGTGATGTGATATAGATATATGATAGAGAAGTAATAGAGATATGACAGAGTGTGAAAGGCATATGATAGATTTCTTTAAGAAACTCACTACTTTATTTTAATATTAACTCACATTTCAAAATAAAAAAAACAAAACAAATTAACTTTAAACGTCAGATAACGAGGGGTATGATCTTTGTTTATACGGTTTGCTACAAGTCAAATTGATATTTGCCTGTGTCACATATTTTATTTTGGTGGGTAAGCGGGTCATAGCGGACATAGACAATTTATGATAACGTTGGTTAAACTGAAAAGATGATTTTGTATTGGGGGTAGAATTGCATAATTTAAAAAATAATTTAGCACATACTTCAGTCTCTTGCGTATGATATTGTTGTCCACACTGTTCCGCGGTCGTATCTTCAAATCTCAGGGGAGACGATGACGACATAAGGTAGTCGTCATCGTCACATTCAATCTCATCGTCACCAAACATACTAGGCGGATACTGAAAGATACAATTAAACACAGTCATTGATTGATTCAACAGGCCAAATTCGAAATGAAATGTTTCCGTTCAAATATAGTGAAAAATTGGGAGTGAGGTATGCCATAAGAATAAAAATAACAAATGATTTAAGGAAATTGCTGCTATAGAATGAAATTAATAAACATTTTTTTAATTGGTCAGATGGGTCATTAAAATGTATGAGAGTATGTTATCGCAGATTGTGACCCCTTTGGTATGATATGGGCGTATTATGCAATAATCTAAAAGCAAAGAAAACTTACATATCTAAATTTATATTCTAAAGCTATCGGTATCAATATGTATTATGTAATATAGACTGCAGCCAATAAATGTAAGTATTTTGTTCATTTAAACAACATAATGGGTTTTTTTTATAATCCTGACTATGATTCTACAGATATACCCTAGAAAGAACTAATCCAAAGATTCTGATGGCAACGGTAATTTGTAATTATATCATCAACTGTGTTGTAAGTTCTCTTTATTTATTGTCATATAAGGTTTAACTCTAACATAAAGTGTTCTTCATGTCAATTAAGCTGTCAATTATGTCTGCTAATTCACCTGTAGAAGTGTCAGGTAGTCTGATTATACCGCGAATAAATACCGTCAAGTGTCTAGATCGATCACGTGATTGTCTTATAATTATTAACCTGTTTCCAATCAAATAACTTGAGAGATAGTTCCAGATAGACGCTATTTTATGGTGTAACTCACGAATAAAAAGTTTTATGGCATATGGTTTTATGGAAAAGTATATTAGGATCTTACCTAAAAATAATAATTATAATAATAACAATGACAATAATAATAATAATCGCACGCAGTTATAAAATTGATAGAGAAATATACTACATTACAACTACGTTTTAAATATGAAAATCAATGATAAAACTGGAATTTCGTGTAAATTATAAAAAATAATCAGGTAAACAAAGTTTCAATAAACATACTGGGTTTATTGGAGAGCCCGTTGCCATGGACATGTCTTGGTTGCCAGGTAACTGAGATAGCTCATTAAACAGAGTTATAGAGTGGCCACTGCTGTTAGACGCTTTCTCTGTTAGATGATCAATCTGGATATTGAGATGTGAATTCCTTTCATGAAGGTCACGGATTTCTTCATCCTTGCGACACAGCTGAAAACAAACATAGTCTAATTAGAGAAATCAAGAAACGTAATAAAAACAAGAAGTATCTTTAGAAAGAGATTCTCGGCCGAAGGAAAACTAGTTAACTTGCATATGTTAGTTTTAGTTTTCCATGCAAACTAGAACTAATAATGTAACGGGACGGGTATCTTTCTGTCCCAGATGCGAAGTTGTATAGAAATGTTAGCAATGACATAATAATATCTTTGTTCTTGTAGGGTTATTTATCTTGCAAAAATGGAACACTTTAAGATGTATGTGATTCTAATCAAACCTGTCGTCTTTCAATACGTTAGCTCAATTTATATCACCAACAGTAAGGCAATTATTTTTATAAATACTTGATTAATATGCAAATTATATAAAAATATAAACATTATATCAATTGAAGACATCAAATATCATGTAATATATTAGACACTTATTGAACATCATAAACTAAGGGTACCTGATAAGTTCTGATATTATTCTCGTTTTAAAACCCAGATGTGTGAAATAATCTCAGTAAGTTCTTACGTAAAATAAAATATACTGTTCACTAATGGCAAGAACTATCCTTTATATTTTTGTTCAGAACTATCTGAGAATGACAAGAACTATACTTTACATTTCATTTTAGAATGGCGAATGAGATTCCCAGATATCATTTTGCAATTTTAAAATGACCAATGAAAACTCTTCTTATATTCAGTTCTTCCCTGTAAATTTTACAGGAAGTCAAACTGAAAAGAGCCCGGACTTTGGCCGGAAAAATATATGTATAATAAGACTCTGAAACTACCACGGACGCATATAGCGGGGGACAGAATGGGGCAAATTTATAATCGCCCTGGCCCCTGAGTACTGGGGCATTAAAAACAATAACAACAACAAAAACAAAGAAAAAGTACCTCGTTAAAATTTGCATAATTTTATGATATATTTTTTCCGCTTTTAATGAATAAAAAAAATAGAGAGTAAATGTATAACTGTTATATAGCTACTGAAGATAAAATGTACGATTACAAATATTTCTACTTTTACTTTTACTATTTACTTTTACTTTTTAATGTGGTTTTCATTGTGTCACAACATGTCTAAATTATTTCATTTTATATGTACAATTAAGTTTAAGTAAACAAAATAGTTTAAAATTAATGCTAAATCTAAATGACTTAATTAATACCAGGTGAGGAGTGTAATCTGCAATCATTTTATAAATGTCTGAATTCATACAACTTTTGTTTGTTTCTTAACCACTTTCATCTTATCTTTGTTCAATACGTTTAATGTTTTATTTAAATAATTTGTCACCAGCACTAGTAATCATAAACTGTAAATCTTAATAATCATCTGGAAGAATGAGTAAAGGATTCTTCAGCAGACTCTTTGATTAAACGATGAAACGCTCGCGTGACGCCAGCCTCGTTCTAGAGATCAAGGAACGATAAATCTTAAAATCAATAACTTACATTATCATTGTTACATTTTGAAGGTAAACATATATGAATTATTCATATTCTCCAGATTACAAGCAATGATGGAGATTTAATTAGTGATTAGTTTTATGGTCAGTTAACAATACACCACCGTCATAAATTTCCCATTAAACATCAATATGTATATAATATGAATATACCTGTAGATAGCATAACCAGCAGTAAGGTCATGTAAATTCTGTTCTTTTTGTTGTTTTTTTTTACATTTGCTTTATATATTTGGACACTAGATAATATGTCTTCTACTAGATCTATCATTATTATTATTATCATCATTATTATTATCGTTTTATTATTATCATTATCATCATCATCATCATCATCATCATCATCATCATCATCATCATCATCATCATCATCATCATCATCATCATCATCATCATCATCATTATTATTATTATTATTATTACATCAGCAAAGGAAACATTATCTTAAAAAATGCTTTAAAACTTATCATGAATTTCTGAATACAAAAGCCATTTTTCAAATAACATATATTCAGAATGGTTAGATGTCTATTTTTGTAACCTAATTTAAACATCACATTTACAAAAGGATGACAACAAAGTCCATAAACTTTTAGTATCATAAATGCAATCTGCGGATGTTTCAAAATTCCAAATTTTACTATTTCCTGTTAAATGATGAATACTGCTTAAGCCGGTGCTAGGGGGCGTGGACGATAACTTGCACTTTCCATTACCGTCTATGAACAGACTCAATCAAACTGAGCCTGCAACATTTTCAATATTGTCGTTTTGTGCTTTACGGATTCTTTACTTCTCACAATTATGAAATCAGCTTATAAAGGTTAAAAATTGTTTTAGACTTTTCGACTTGATCTAAAACTTATTTTACACGATCTTATAATACTTATTTGATTTTATTTTATCTCACCTGATCTTCTTGATCTGCCTTTTGACGTTCCAGTACTTTAATCCTATCTTGCGTCTCTTCAATAACACCAAGTAAAGATTCTCTCTCGTCTGAAACTTTCTCATAACTTCTCTCCAAGTCACTCTTCTGTCCTGACAACGATGATATCTAAAACAAATAGCATATAAAAAATAACATATTTAACTTTAATGACAAGGAAGTTTAAACGTGTACAAAACGAACGTATCCACTCCTTTAGGTAAAACATCGAAGAAATCTAAAACGAATATGATAAAATTTATAAAAAAGGCGTTAAGATTGACAGAAATATTGTAATAAAATGATGCCAGGAGATGTGTATATATGTTATGTGAAAAAGGTAATCTTATTACAACAGATATAGCTGTTCTACAGTTTAGACGAATAATTCTAAAATATCTCAAATTTATGTGTTTCATTGTCTGGATTGTAGCAATGTTTTTGTTTTAATTACCGTAAAAGAGTAAAAATCAAACTCGTAAGCATGAATTCATTAGAATAGTTGACTAAAACAGAGCAAAACATCAAGGCTATCTAATATGCTCTAGTGTGAACAAAAACATACATATAATTGCAGTATAAAATAAGTAAAAACTGCATGTAGCCTTGACAGTAATCTGTACAGAAATACGACCAAAGTGACAATGTTATTTACATTCGAATGCGGCAATGATCGCGTTATGGACATAATACAATTGTTTTTATTTATATATAAACATGTACATGTATATGGGAGCGTAAATTTTTTTATGGCAGATATGGCAGTTGTATCGAAAATTCGTTATGCCATATATGAGTGTGTGCGAATCTTTTTTCCTATTCTTAAAATCTTAGTACATTTGTCTCAAGTTTGATTTTCTTGAACACTTTTTTTGCTTATCTGATGGCATGCAGCTTTAAGAGTCCAATTATAGTAAAGTAATTAATGATGCAATATGACGTCATTAGTTGACCGACATTGTACAACAACAAAGTGAAAAGGCGACATATATAATTTTGTTTAAACATGTACAACAAAATCACCGTGCATATCTAAAAAAAGGATGAATATTTCAGACTAAGTAAATACATTTGTAAATCAATTTATTGTCTATTCTACGACTCTACGTGCATGGCATTACTTGAAGAACATCAAATTACAAGTGTTTCCTGGAAAGACATTTTGTTAAAAGCACCACGTGATGCAGACAAAGCTGTATATACTTTAATTAAGCTGCTGATAATTTCGAAATTCCCATTTACATTATATAATCAAATGTCAGTATAAAATATCGTATTCCAGACTTAATGGAAATCACTTGTAAGCCTTTGGTTTTGCTAGGACAAATAATTTACCAGCATGTTTGTTATGTCATTTTTCAACATTTTATATTTTTGTCTAGGGTATAATTTATTTTGACTACATCAATTTTCATTATAACAATTCGAAAACATGCTGTATATTGACTAAAAAAAACACGAGTATTTAAACATGTATGATAATGAATTTTAATAAATAAGCTTATTACTGATATATTCCATATACATGTACATCGTCAAAGATGAAAAAAACGCGACGAATATATATTCAGTTGAATTTTGTCTTCTTTCTAACTTAATACTACTTTTCCATTGCATGACAAGACTAACATTAGATCATACAATTCAGTGCAAACGAGTCTGTGAGATAGCATAAAAATAAAGTGCATTGAGACCTAGAAACAAGAATTATCCCGAGTTATAACCGTCTCTACAGCTGTAAACCTTCAATCGATTGTTGCAGTATAACAGACAAGACGGTCTATCGCTGTCCATCATGTGCCATCGCGAGACAACAAGCAATAAATGCAGTACCAGACAGAAATGCAAACATATTTAATGTATTAATATAACAATTGATTATAAAATACAGTCGGTGTTGCCATAATATCTCCGTGTAAGGCACGAGGATGGGGACGCCTACACCACAGTTTTTATCGGTGTTGTCATAATATCTCCATGTAAGGCACGAGGAAGGATGAGAACGTCCACACCTCATTCGTTTTGATCGTTTTTATGCTTTTTTGTTTTGTATTTTTGGCATGCCCTGCTTTGAATAAAAATTTAGAACTATCTATACGCGAGTTTAAGTGATTCCCAAAATTAATGTTATCAAAGTGGGTTGCTTATTGTCTGGATCTATAAACGGGTGACACAAGCATGTTTACATGGTTACTATAATGAAACAAGTATCATCTGCTTATCCATACCCTACAGGAAACTTAAATTGTTTAAGCTTTGTCAACAGTATAGAGGCTGGCCAGTTGGCACATCCGTACAGTCTGACCAGTAACTAACCAGGCTCGGTGGTGGTGGTGGTTGTAGTTTACAGCAGTAAAAACAAGCTGGACAAAGTGTGATCCCTCAGCAGCATTAATCAAAACAAAATTACATGAAAATTGCAGACTCAATTTGATTGAGCCTGTACCTGAATTAAAGCCACCTCGAATTCACCAGAGCACAGTTCTGCCACCGCATCGGTCCTAGGCAATCTGTCAAACAGCTTACCAGTACTAGTTGCCTTCACCTTCGCCATACGTAAGGAACTGATAAAATCAGTACATGCCAGAGCAAAGGAATAGTGTGAATAGCTGTAGAAAGGATTTCATGATAAATCACAACGAAAGTGACCTGCACCGTCTGGGAATCTAACCCTGGTCGCTCGATTCACAGTGCAACCCATTGAGCTAACAGGACGGTTATTGATCAGATTCTATACGGTTGGCTGTTCAACTTCAAGTTTTCATCTTGATATCCCCAAATTGATAATAGGCAGTTCCAAAAAAAAATGTAAGCGGACAAGTCCATTTCAGAAAGTCAGTGGCAGGTTATGCAGACCAAGGATGAATGTTTTGCTTGCCTGTGAAGTATAGTTCAAACATATTGACCTTGAACATTTCGAAATGTTCCCCAATCTGTCTAGTTGCAAAATCACCAGCAGGACAAAAAAAGAGAAAAGTAATTGTAACTCACGGAAAGTGCACTTAACTTTGTGCCTGATCCAAAAGTAATATCCCGGAATAAATCATACCTATTCCCAGGACGTGAGGATTGTTGAAACCAGATGACAGCAACGTTTTGAATAATTAATATATTCTAATTAAAGTATTCCTAATGAGTTTTCCCAGATGGAGTGTACCAAAGTAAGTCTATAAATATATCTACTATAAACTTAGTGAATCACACAGTAAAAGTCACTTTGATGCGGATTAGGTAGACAATGTGACTCCTAGGAAGAAGAACAGAAATTTATACATTCGGAACACCTCGGGCGACGTCGATCTCCGAACTTGACGGAGATTGCCGAGTTGTTACGATTGAAAATTATAAATAGCCCTCGGTCCAGAATACGTTTCATCCGTTTCAACCGATAGAAAGATTATGCACCTATTACTTAATTATTTTATTCTTTTAAAAATGAAAACAAAGTGAGACAACCATTTTACACTGTGTGTACGCAGACAGGCACTTGCCTGAATGGTAATATAAATAGATATTTTAGTACATAATAAATGCATCAGTCACTAACAGCCCTTTTAAGGTCTCACCTCCTTTCATTATTGTCTCAGGTTACTGTACATTTAGGTTCTCATTGACCACCATACAGTGACTATTTTTGGTTCAAAATTCATATCTTTGGCTAATACAGTTGCTCTGTGGCCGAAATTGCATGGAGGTAAATTATCACCACTTTGTGCTTCAAAATTAACTCTTTAAGGGCGTGACTGGTGACATCGGGGTTAGGGAGTCCGTACTTGACAGCGACAGCTGCTTTTTGTGCCTTAACAGGCGGATAGATCCTCATTAAACATAGAACACATACATAGAATAAATGCATCAGAAACCGCCATTCAATATCGTATTCAAAGAAAGAATAACATTTAACGCTCTTGCATAGTTAAAATCTATACCATTCTGGGGAAATGTGAATTCTAAATTTAAATTGTGTACGGGAAAATGCACCAGAAATCTCCATTTAATAATATGTATATTTTTAAAAGATCAACTAGAAGTTACACTATAGCAGTATTACTCTCAAGTCTGAAATTATGCGGGGAATTGTATATACACTTGTGTTTTAAATTGTGCTCCTATAATGTACTAAAGTCCACGCAGATTTCATTTTTTCTAGGGTTGTGGTGGGGTAGAGGTAGACCCTCTGGTAAAGAGGAGGAGGGAATATTGGTTATTTCAATTTTAAGCAATTACCATAGCCGATCCGTGCCTGAAAGCAACAATTACCACCTGTCTTATTATCCACAATTCATCTTTTGCCGATGTTTCGATGCGTACTTCTTAAAATGAGCAGGAATTTCTAATTGTTTACAAACAGGGTTATTTCAATTATCACATTATTTTCTTTCAAAGAAATTCCCTTTAAGTACTTAAGCAGAAATAATGAATTTAATGCACAAGCGACTAGAAAATTAGACTACATATGTTCTATTCTATACACTTTTATAACAATTACGCTATATATGCTGCTATATACAGATAAACATAATTAAATCAATAATATAAAAGGCCCTTTTATAACTTCACAAAGAGCAATGGGCAGATTACATCATTTCACAATAAAAACGCAATAATCAGATGCTAATTACAATATATGTATAAATTACTTCCTTTTACTGCAAGTTTGAATTTTAAATTATACGGAAGAACCTATATGTACAAAACTAAACGCTACTTTAGAATGTACATTTTACATTTGAGATTTTAGATGGACTCGCTTTAGAAGCACATTGTGTGATAAAATATGGAGAAAAAACAATACCGTACTATTGCTTGAAGTGTAGATAGATATAACATTTTTTTAGTCTATTTTGTTTCATTCCTTTATTTTATAGCATAAACACAAAGGAATAATTTCAGTAAATTAAAAATGAAATATTTAAACCATATTTATATCATGTAACAAGGGTATATTTTATTCAATATAATTGTGATTTTTTCCCCTGTGAAAGGGAAATTTATAAAAACTGATCTTTTATTTTCAATTTTAAATTAAAAAAGAACCGACCATAAGTTTAAACACTTTTAACAATTCAATTTTTTTTTATTTTTTCGGCGCATTTTTTTTTTAATTTAGGCGTCTTGTGAGTTATTATATCAACCGAAACTTCTCGGTCATTTCCGTCAAACTTCGGATATTTGGTCATGCTTACCTGTTCTTGAAGATGCTCTATCTGATAAGCTTGTTTGGCGGAAATATTTGCCAGACCACTGTTCTTAATCGTCTGCAGCTCCGACTCATACTCATGCTCAAGTCTTTTTGCATTCTGTAGTTCGTCGAGTAGCCTCTCGTTCTGAAAGAAAAATGTTTTATGTTTCGTATTTTTGCATGATTTAAAGCTTATGTCTATTTCAAATGTTTTCAACCCAGAAATCTAAAAGAAATCAAAAAGAGAAGCATTTCGTGGTAAAATTTCTGGCAAGATGTAAGGCATTGCCGAACAAAAATTGCGTTTAACAGAAACATAGTAAGTGCATGTATGGGTGAGATGATTAAAGAACCAATCCATATTTGCTTCTATGCCAAACTTTGTATAAAACCAGAACGAGATAAAAATAATATGCCTAAATAAAACACATATTTCGTGATTTTTTTCTTTTGAAAAAAATAATAAATAAAACAACAACAAAAGCAATTAACCATTAATCTGCTGGATTTCTTAAACAAACACTTTTCAAGCTTCCATTTTTGGAATTGTCTGTTATCAATGGATGGCAATATGAAGATGGTCAGCCAAAATCAAAATTTAGATAACGTCTAACAGTATATAGTCTGGTCAGACTTTAAACGTATATTCAAACAACTGTGGTAAAATCTTATTTGCATTCTGTTCCAGATACGTAATGGTTAAAATCTTTCATGACTTTAAGTTTCATCAGGTTACTTACAGGTGAGGGAGATAATAAGGAATATAATTTAGATTAATTAGCCAGAATGAAAGAGAAAGTAACCACCCCCTCCCCCAAACAAAAAAGGGAAGAAAAAAAACAACAACAAAAAAACAACAAAAAAAAGCAAAAAAAAACAACACCCAAAACAAACCAAACCAAAAAAAACCCAACAACAAATCAAAAGCAAACAAAACAACAAGTACATTGTGGCCCTGGACTTACAAATGCATGTATATCATATCATATATATATACATTGATTTATATTATATCATACATGTATAATGACCAGCACTTCACACGGAGACTGTAACTGTCATTGTTAAAGCATCACCTTCAAGGTGAACACTCAGTCAAACTCTCGCCTGTCAACATACCGACCTTACACACTTAAATAAAACCTATATAAAAACTGCCCATGGTTATTTTCAAATCTTTAGAGGTCATTTGGTACATTCAGATTTGACAATCTGTTACACAACATTTTTTATGACACATAATTATTTATCTATGACACGTAACTTCAATAATTCAAAAGCCAAATATGTCAGCAAAATGTCATGAAATTGTGTGCAACAAAATACAAGTTTATATACCAATTTTATATTTAATTAAATATTTACACCAGTTGATATTGCTATTTCGGTACATACGATTTGTTTTGATAATTGCTAACGTCTTAAAAGACCGTTTAAGGACAAACATAATTCCGTATGTATTAACAAAGGTCATTGAATGTTGAAATAAAATAGCAAATATCTGTGACTTATAGAGCCACTGGGTCGGGTGTTTTCATTATGTTATAATTTTATGTTATTGTTATTACATGTAAACTTGTCACTATAATAAAATATTTACTTAAATATCTTGTATGTTATAATTTAGGATGTAACCATGTGTGTGTATTTGAGTTTATTTATACTCGCCACCGGTTGCCCATATGGGCGAGTCCCCCAGAAGAGTATTAGTCATTTTAGATGTTAGGAGGATAGTGCAATTACAGAAAGATGCCCCAATTCCAGAAGCTTCTCCTGGTTCTTTAGCGTGCCAAGTGTTTTAAGCACCCATACACGGGACTCGATTTAAAGTCTCATCGAAAGACTGATTAGTAATTTTAGTTGGCCAGCCCGGAATCGAACCCACAATGTCGAGATTACAAGTCTCGCGCTCTAACTGATTGAGCTATGCGGGCTGGCTAAGGTTTGTATACCACACTTAAGTGAAATCCTATATATGTATATAATTATGCTTCTAAAACGATTTTCAAACATCCAAGGATATGTAAAATATGTACTGCAAATGTTTATAGGCATTATATGTAATCATTAAAATAAATGCATTCATTTCTTATTGAAATAAATGGCTTAGACTTTATAGAAAATAAATTTCTAATTACCTCCCTTTATTTACAAATAATGCTTTTTGGAACTTACAATATTGATAAATCTTCATTTGAGCATCATATATATGATATAAAACCAAAAATAAAATTGAGATCTTTAAATATATTTATTAGGCGCAATCCCAATGTCGAACAAAATATACCTTTATATTCATATATTCATTATATTCGTGTCATATAATAATAATAATAATAATAATAATAATAATAATAATAATAATAATAATAATAATAATGATAAAGATAATTATATTCATTTGATTTAAAAATAGTTAAATAGTTGAAACTGAATTTTGTACATAAATGTAAAAATATGGTTCTATTTTCTTCCTCTCGAAATCTTTTTTTGTTGTTCTTTTTTTTTTCTTAATAAAAACCAACACAGAAAAGAGACAAGAATAAAGAAAAAAAGAGGGAGCAAACAGAACAGAAAAGGAAAAAAAGAAAAAAAAAAAAAAGACACCAGCAGACGACTTTAGAAGTAAGATTATAATAAATGGAAAAAGTCTTTTACTTGGATGAGTAACAATTAATTCCGAATAAAGAAAAGTTCCCGGCAGGGAAAGTATGGAAAGTCCGTGTTTTTTCCCGTCTAGACTTACATTATCTAGCATTATTATAAGTGAAGTTTATTGATTGAATGTAGTTCTGATATATTTGAATTTTCTCTGACCATTGCAAGTTTGGCACTGTTTAAGCAAAAGAAATTGCAAAAAGAAATTTTAGCTAATTAGCTGTTTATATTGTAGAGAGGTGTTCCTTTAAAAAAAAACAAAACAAACAAATTAGGTTGAACATCATGGTATATCACTTATATCTGAACACTGTGTGTGCATTATGCGATATTTGTATCATAGTTTGGAGACCTTTCTGTTGAAAATGTGTCAGGGTTAAATCGTATACATATACATGCACAGTGCGTTAACTGGAGTGCGGGTATTAGTTACCCGCACTCCAGAACATGCCCATTGATTGGCTCATTTTTGCTGGGGTTTACATATTGTGACGGCAGAGAAAGGGAAAGCGACAGAAATGTCATATTCAGATGTTCGTTCATTGGTTCATTTTGCCGGGGTTTCATATTGTTACAACAGCGAACGTGCTTTTATGTTTGACTAATGACCAAAACACTCGGCAATCCGATTAATACGCCCCCTCGTACAAATCAGATAGCCTCGTGTTTCGGTGCTCTTTCTATTACATACTAGTTTCACATATAAAACACATATCTAAGAAAAAAAAATCAAAACACCATTTAATGTTAATTTACCTGTTGTGATAGTTCTTGTATTCTGTTAAGTTTGTTTTTATCGCCAGTGTAAGAATCATGTTTATTTCTATCAAGCTCCTCTCGTAACTGTGAAATATCATACTGCAGTTCTTTCACCGTGTTCTCGTATTCGCCCTCCAAGTTCTCTAGTTTTAGATGTAAGCCGTGCCTTTCTTGTTCCAGTGCCTGTCAATTAACATATTTAAAGTAGTGTCTTCAATTAGCATATTTAAAGACATGTCTCAATAATGTATTTTTGTTGGATTTTTAGTCACATCAACATTGTATATGTCATATGGCGACTTTCCACATTTACTTGTGGAGGAAGGAGACCTCAGGTCCCCCTTCATGCAATATTTCAGGCATGTGAACGGTGACCTGAATAGAACCACCGGCGTTCCGTAAGCTAGCTGGATAGCTTCCTCACATAAAAGAATCAAAAGTCCCAGGGAGGATTCGAAGCGGTAAGGGGCAAGTGATTTGAAGTCACGAACCTTTACCACTCGGCCACGGAAGCTCCATTTAATATTGTATACAAATTAATTGATTCTGAATACAGATAAGAATGAAGAAATCTTTCTTGACATGTATGATATTTAAATACTGCTTAAAACGACTGCTATATAACCTTTATTAGGATATTGAACAGCAGGCTCCAAACAAAACATGCATTAATTAAAAAAAATGCTTCCTTCTGTACGTATCGACAATTTACAGAGATCAAACAAAAAAAATCTGACTCATTCAAATGATCACCATAAACTGATAAAAAATAATCTCGTTCGATAAATGTTTAATATTGTTTTGATATTTGAAGTCAGGAGACAAGCTTCAAGGTAAATATACAGAGTGATTGTACTGAATGAATAAAAATGTTTATTTACATTAAAATAAGGAAATTTATAAAACCTTTGATAGCAGGTTCATTATCATCTAAAAAGGCAATTAAATAAATTTTCAAATCCATTTTTACTAAATTAGGGTAAGAAGGTACTATAGTCTGTCTCATTTAAAATGAAAATAAACTTTTGTCTGGTATGAATTAACAAAACGAGGTTGAATCTCAGATTAACATAAAGACTCTATATATATGTATTTATGTAGAGGTTCATTTTATGTCATGGAGTTATCAAGTTATCATTTGAGAAACGTTTTGATTACAGGTAACCTAATCATGCCTGGACTTGAGCATCTCTCCCAAAGAAACCAGGACATTTGACAATCCACACCCCTGCCCCTGATAAAAGGTAAATAGTAGATTGACAGAATAGTTAAACTAAAAGAAACCATACACGCTAATGACTGTACCTCAATATGTTGGTTATATTCCTCAACAGTTTGTTCCAATTTCTTCTCAAGATCTGAATTTTTTTCCAACAATGCTTTGCCAAGTTCTGCCGCGAGCATCAAATCCCTGTCCTTTTGTTCCAGCATAGCTCGCACGCTATCTTCGTCCCCAAAGTTATTTCTTAACCCAGCTTCATCGCCCCCGTTGTCGAAAAGTTCACGCTCGGTATCCATTTACCTTTTTCTGACGGCAGTGAAACGAACTTTAAGAAATAAATCTCCGTCTAGTCTAATGTTTTCTTAAGGATAATCTGCGATAGTATCTTAATAGCTTAATTCACATGTAACCGCTTAAGGTAAGCGTAAAAAATCGAAAGTTTTGTCATACAACGCCAGGTCTTATTTCATAAAATGTGATTAGCTCTTCAAACACATGTTACTATGAGTCAATATTTACACACAGTTAACGTCTTCTGTTATCAACTCAATATTATGCAAATCTTTCAAGTTCACGACATTTAATTAATACGGAACAAAAAAAATCACCCCTTTACCCTAAAATAATCAAGAGTGAAAAGTACACGTGGGTTATATAGCCAGTAAAAAGTATAATTACAATGTAGGAGAAAAACAGTGTTGAAATTATACCATAACGCTACATTATCTTACAATTATTTACAGTCCTATAAAAACTTTTGCGTAAAAACTACATTTTAATCGCTGAAATTATTATGTCACTTGTAACTACCGCTACAATATAACTTCAACGAAGATATTAAACATAAATCCATATCATAGTTCCGATATTGATCACTATAAACACAAACAATATGATTTAACATTTTAATCCACAATACAATCCATTCAACATTTCATTTACATGTTGATGTCCATTAAAAATACACAAAGCTGTCATTAAAATGTGTTAGAACATTTTAATTAGCCTAAGGCTACACCGTTACGTGCATTAAACAGTTTACAATCATGTTCAATAACGAAATGTTAATGTTTAATAATAACTTTTGCGTCATACACACTCGCGTTCAATTCGTATGGAAACTCATTAATATTCTCTCATAATTCCAACTATTGATTTAAAGTGTTGCCGGAAACATGATGTATACAGTCCAGACAAAAACATATGTAGCTTTCACGCTATCAAAACTGTCATTAAATAAATTGATTGCACAAAACTAAAACAAAACACTGCCCAATAATCCTGTGAATCACCTTCTCTACACTGGCACTCGCTCGACGTCTGCTAATAATATGTTTTTACGTTTCTGCTGTGGCCTTTCCCTTATTGATCGGCGGTGTTTCATCACGGAGTCCTTTTACCTGTATTTATATATCGACAAATCCATTTGGTTTGTTGCTCTGTATACCATTTGGGGAAAACGACTCTGTATTGATTTACCTTAACCGTGAAGCGTCGGTATTAGCAAGGGGAAATAATGATTAGCGTCTTGCGTGTTAAATTATTACAAGTGTATGGTATGGTCTCAAAATGTTGATTAAAGGATAGTCATTGTGTATTAAAATTATATTTTAGAAAATCATGTCACAATAAATATATGATTCGCAAAATTAAAGATGAAATAATTCGAAAAACTTACTTGATGAATACAAAATTAGGAAAACATTGAAATGTGAACATTGCAGATTCGGTTTAATTGAGAGGTAATGAAATGTACGTCCTAGCGTCTGAGTAGCCACTGGGGTAAAAAGTCTTAAAAAATAAGATAAATAAATAAGATTTGAAATTCTTTCATTTAGCCATAAATAATTAAAAAGGAAAAATCTGCAAATGATTTAAAGATACATACAAAGATACTCAAATTTAAATTGAATATCGATTTTTGTGTGTGTGAATGTTGATATCTTTTTGCACAATGAAATGATTTTTCTGGCAAAAGGGGGGGGGGGTACATCAAATGGCACAATATTTTCCATTCTCGTCATCTCTAACACCCAAAGTACCAAAGTAGAGTCCCTTTAAGCTTCCAAATTCCAAATTAAAGCTTCCAATTATTGGAATCAATGATCCCGGGCAATCAGAAAAAAGAAACAACAAGACTTAGTGATGAAGTATTGGGAAAATCATTTTAAACATATCCTGTGAGTATAAAACATGGACGTGCACGTGTTGAGATCCATCTAGTTTGTTTATCGCACCAACACGGTCATATGGCGCCGAAACAGGAAATATGAGTTTGGCTAACATCGGATGTAACAAACTCCAAAGCAACACCAAGGGTCAAAACCACCTCAAATGCTGGAGCTATAAGAGATGCATATATAGACTCCAGTTGTTCGAACCCATTTAGTCGCCTTTTACGATCACGCAGGCATAAGCAGTGGCTGCATTGCTTATGCCTCCGCCATTACTGGCAACCCCCTAAGCCACAAGTGATAGATAAATAAATAAATAAATAAGAGGTGAAAAATGCAGATTCGGCTTTCGATTTAGTTTGATGGTAAAATTTTTTTGTCTGATTTTAACGCCAACTTAAACACCTGTTGGTAATATCTCGGCGGTTTGTTTCCTGGACAACTAATCAGTCATTGTAAATGTCTCTGCAAGTGACCGACTTTTAACCCCACATGATTTCTGAATAAGTGGCGAGAGACAAATGACCATTACACTCAATGTTGGAGAACATTTGTCACGGAGAAAATTCTCTTCGCCCAAGAATCGAACCATGCTGTCCACTTTGAGCTAAACAGTTAATGTACGGATAGTATCAGGAATACATGATGTCCCCCAGTACATTTTAGAAGTACATGTAACTAGAAAATTGCTGGATTGTCCCAAAGTTTACATAATACTTTTAGGAAAATGTCTTACGTTTCAAAGCTTTACGTAGTATGCTAATTCAATATATTCCGACTTAACATGCAAAATCTTAAATATTTATATTGATAACGGCTTTTAAAATAACAGACATTTGAAATTACGCATCTGTGTAGTAGGTCGAATATCTTCATTTTTGTATTTTCTGATCGTAAGATCAGTAAATACATAGCTAACATCCACGGTCTAACACACAATTTCCTAACAGTCCTAACAACGCAAAGTAGTTCTCACTCAAAACTGCTTAAAACCAGCAATTTAAAAGAAAGAATAATTTTTAATGTAGGCATTTAACGAATTACAGTGCATTAAAAGTTTAGATTAGTCAATATAAATATGAGGTTACAATCACAAATTTCGCGGATGAATATCTTTTTTACCCAATGAAAAATGTTCGGCTATTTCCGTAAAGCTTCGCTTCGGATTATCATGAATATCATTTTAATCGATGAAAATGCTATTTTTAGCTATGTCGATTACCGAATACTCCAGAGCGTAGTACACAAATAAATCTGACTGTCGAGTAGTGGAATATATACATGTCGGACTGTTTTGGCGAGAAGATTTTCGCTAAATTATTTTCATCAGTGTTAAACAACAGGTTTATCGTGAACAAAATACTTCGAAATTGATAAGGATTGCAAACACGAAATGGAAATTCTCAATTTAGAATTACATAATGTATTCGTTTTTATTCAAGGTACATATGTATAACTTCGCCGTGGTGCAGAGGTAAGCGGTCTCGTTGAGGATGTGAGAGGCCTATGGTTCAAATCCTAGTCGAGGCAATTCTATTTTTTTCATGCAAAATTCCATATGTATCAACCTCAAACTGTTATAGAAGAAAATCAAAACGCTGTCGCTGCGTAAGATGAATTATAGTATATAAAATAAACTTCTACAGGAAAGTACATACAGATAGTCAGTATGATTTAGATTGCAAAGATCAGAAAATACCATAGAGCTGCAGCCCTTTGATTTTTAAAAAAGGTTGACGTCCCCTACCTCTCATTCAGGAAACGTCTTACACCAACTATAGATATACCCTTCATGAATATAATTATTGTATGGCGGCAAAATCTCCATCTCGATATATCTAGCCATTCTTCCATGTCTTCGTTCAACGACGAAACGTAAGGGTTAAGTCAGAACCTCTGGGTAGATCTGTCCGGAAAAAAAATAGGCAATGCATCCGAAGACTGACACATTCCCCCGACTAAATAAAAAACGATTAATTAGAATCTGACAAAGACCTGCGTTGGAGAGCCTCCAGGCTTTATGTCATTTAAAAACGTGTGCACCAGTGAGTCAGTCAATTAATCATAACCTCTTGCCATTCATATGATTGTGCGGATAAAGTTACTGTTATGAAATATTGAGCTACACGTGCACGTCCATTCCAGCTTCAACAAAGTTGAACAAACTGCTACAGGTTATAATTCTCTCCGAGGAAGTTTTCCCGTGGAATAGTCTACCTCTTGATTTTGTGAACCCAACACCACTTAACCAATCCAATAAGGCTAAGCATTGCTCATATTAAGTTTATAACATATTTCACCATAATTAACTTCAAATTGTTCCTACTTTTGACAGAATTTTTTTTTGAGTAAATGCATGTAATTTTTCTATAAAAACCTTCTAAAATTAACCTTTTTCATTCTCATTTAGAAGTGTCTAGGGCCGCATTCTGTCTAAATGTTGACATGTACGCCATCGTAATGGACTGGGCTCCTTGCCTTGAGGTCCTGTGGAAAAGTGAGACTAAAAAAGTATTCTAGTCATGGTTAAAATGTTAATAGTAGATACATGATAAAAAAGTAAAAATAATTGGGAACATGATTAGTACTGCAATACTACTACTGCCCGTTTGAACTGACTTAAAATAGAGAAAACAGAATCCCTAAAGAAAGCCCAATACGGCAAATTGACAATGTTGCAGGCTCGGTTCGATTGAGCCTGTTCAATGTGCAAGTTACCGTCCACGCCCGTTAGCACCGGCTTAAGCAGAATTCAACATTTAAACACGAAAAATGGTGAAATTTTGAATTTGGAAACATCCGCAGATGTTAAGTTGGTCAGGGTGGCAATGAAGCTTGGGAGTTTATTCCATAGTATAATGCTATGAGGGAAGAAAGAGTACTTATGATAATCGGAAGAAGCATGTATTTGGCGTAGGGATAAGAGGTGCATGCATATATGTCTGTTTATTAATGTATTTGGGGCTTGGATATAATACGCCCCTGTAAACACTCTATCAAAAATATCTTAATATTTAAATACGATATACATAATTATGACAACATACCGACACAATTCCTTAAAAGACTATGCTAAAGACATTACTCTGCTTTCACCCTCTTGTTCAACGCCTCTCTGCAACAAGAAGCCGTACCTTCAGCCTGGAAGAAGGCAAATGCATCACCTATCTTCAAGAAAATGTGACCGCAGCAACCCCGCCAACTACAGGCCCATCTCCCTCACATAAGTATGCAGCAAATCCCAGGACACATCCTACATGTACATAGCCAAATAATGAAACACATTGACCATGACAATATCCTATCAAATCAACAACATGGATTTAGAAAACAACGCTCAATAACTGAAAGTCAGCTTCTTCTCACTCTTCAAGACCTGTCATCAGCCTTGGACCAAGGGGAACAAGTAGACGCTATATACTACTAGACTTCAGTGAGGCGTTCAACGTTGTGCCTCACCAATGACTCCCCTCCGAGGTGGACTACTACGGCATCAGAGGGACAGCCCGAAGCTAGGTCCAGAGCTTCCTGTCTGACCGCAGCCAACAGGTCGTCGTTGAAGGCCACGCGTCAGCATCCTCCCCGGTTACATCCGGGGTACCCCAGGGCACAGTGTTAGGTCCATTGCTATTCCTCCTTAAATTTACATCAATTAACGACCTATCAAGGTGCGTGACTTCCATAAGCTGCATGACAGTCTGATTTACAGAAGAATCAAATCAGAAGCTGACGCACTAGCTCTCCAAGAAGACCTTGATCGACTCCAGGAATGGGAACGCAAGTGGCTGATGTCCTTCAATCCCAGCGAATGTGAAGTAATACAATTATTTTGACGTTGTGCGACAGTACTATAAAACCTGTTCGCTGAAGTCTCTTTAGCTAGGACATCTGTTACAACAATAAAACAGGTTTTAAAACAATTTTTACATAACTAAAAAAAATGCATTCTACCATCACGTTTCAATAAAGTATATTGAGACTTGATGGTAAAAGGTATAGCCAGGGGTCTGACTTCTAAATAGAGGTGTTAATTCTATAGAAGACGAATAAATTTAGTAGTACACAACCTAAAGATCTGTGCAAGGTGATTTCTATTATTATCTTTCGTTTATTTTTTCTGTAAAGATTTTTGATAGCTGAATTTGCTTTCAAAACTTAAATATTAGCTATTGCATGATTTATATGTAAAATCATAGAAGCTATTGTTCGATACTATCTACAGACTACGATATTCAATAAGTTTAGCAGTATTTCGTCTGAAACATTTTCGGATAAAAAAGTTGGCCCATTTACCAATTGTTGTCGCTAGCGCATAAGATTTATTATTAAATGACATTCATGCATTTAATATACGTATATTAGTAAATTAATAGAACTGTGCTAAATATGTTTAAAGTGGTTGTTAACATTTGTTTAACATGGTAAATATTAAAATGTGCAGAAAAAAATCCCTATCTTTCTCTACCTTCATCTTCTGTACAATTTACAAACGATTTTGTAGAGAATTATATCATATATCAAAATTATTTCTGTATTTCTGATCATTAATTATATATTTATCTCTGTGATTTAGGTTTGCTGGTACAAACTTAGCAAGGATGTTTTTTCGAGCCCTGTTGAAAAGGCATCAGCTAATCCAGTGCTGTGCGAGATGTTTAGAAAGTAGGAAGATGTCATCAAATAGGTAAAATCTTGTTCATGTACATTTTGTTACATCATCATTAGTGGTAAAAAGTTCTACTTCCTGATAAGAAATGTTGCAGGGTGAAAAAAATGTGCAGCATCACAGAGACCCTTGGAATACCATTTCGCAGCTGTACTGACTGAACTGTCTGGACACTTAAGCATTATCTCCCCTAAATAGTGAACAAGTCTGAATTTTGACATACTCTCCTGCTATAATGAAATTCATCCTCGAATTTCTCAGGGTTACAGAGGAATGTGGTCGTCAATTAAACCCTGCAGTTACCATTTAACCATTTAGGCTCCAAATTAGTAAAAATATATAATATTGACGTGCCAAAGCTAGATTCTGAGATATTTTCGTTCTGGATCAGACACAAAATAGCATAATATGTTGTAGCGCAGTACAATTAGTTGGACTAGGCTCCAAATGTCACAGGGATAGGAAAAGTGGAGCCTCACTAGGACTCTTGAAATACTGTTCTGTGGCTCAACCAACTTAACTACATGCCACTGACAGAAATACAAAAGAACAGCTGCTGATATTAATTCTTTTAGTTAGGAACTATATGATTTCTATGTACACATAATTTCTGTATATTTTGATTTTTTTTATATATTTAAGCAATGCTGTCAACCTATCATATTATTCGTACGAAAAGAAGGTAGATGGAGCTCTAGAACTACAACCAATCATTATATTACATGGAATGATGGGCTCAAAACAGAACTGGCAGAGTCTTGCTAAAGTGTTTGGTAAATCAGGCAGAAAGGTAATTTAAAGATTAAGGTTCTTGACTTGTCCAGCTTGGAATTTTCTAATTATATATAAATGTTGAAAGTGATTTCAATAACAAAATGTTGAAATTTAGCAACCATTAGTATAGTGACTTGTCAGGCTAAATTTGACTAAATTGACCTTAAGTTGTTTATGTTTTATTGTACACATAAGCTGTTGATATCACTAAATATAATAATCAGGAATTAAGTTGAAAGTGTACATGTTCTACAATAGGCATTAATTAGCTGTTGATGAAAGTGATCATATTAAATTACACGTTTAGCTTTTGATGAAAGTGTTCATATTCTATTACAGGTATTAGCTATGGGAAAAAAGTGTTCATATTATATTACAGGTATTAGCTGTAGATACAAGTGTTCATATTCTATTACAGGTATAAGCTGTAGATGAAAGTGTTCATATTCTATTACAGGTATAAGCTGTTGATGAAAGTGTTCATATTCTATATCAGGTATTAGCTGTACATGAAAGTGTTCATATTCTATTACAGGTATTAGCTGTGGATGAAAGTGTTCATATTCTATTACAGGTATAAGCTGTTGATGCAAGTGTTCATATTTTTTTACAGGTATAAGCTGTACATGAAAGTGTTCATATTCTTTTACAGGTATAAGCTGTAGATGAAAGTGTTCATATTTTATTACAGGTATTAGCTGTAGATACAAGTGTTCATATTCTATTAAACATTTTAGCTGTTGATGCAAGTGTTCATATTCTATTACAGGTATTAGTTGTAGGTGAAAGTGTTCATATTCTATTACACGTTTAAGCTGTAGATGAAAGTGTTCATATTCTATTACAGGTATGAGCTGTAGATGAAAGTGTTCATATTCTATTACAGGTATTAGCTGTAGATGAAAGTGTTCATATTCTATTACAGGTATTAGCTGTAGATGCAAGTGTTCATATTCTATTACAGGTATTAGCAGTAGATGAAAGTGTTCATATTCTGTTTCACGTTTTAGCTGTAGATGAAAGTGTTCATATTCTATTACAGGTTTTAGCTGTTAATGAATGTGTTCATATTCTTTTACAGGTATAAGCTGTAGATGAAAGTGTTCATATTCTATTACCGGTATTAGCTGTAGATACAAGTGTTTATATTCTATTAAACGTTTTAGCTGCTGATGCAAGTGTTCATATTCTATTACAGGTATTAGTTGTAGGTGAAAGTGTTCATATTCTATTACACGTTTAAGCTGTTGATGCAAGTGTTCATATTCTATTACAGGTATTAGTTGTAGGTGAAAGTGTTCATATTCTATTACACGTTTAAGCTGTAGATGAAAGTGTTCATATTCTATTACACGTTTTAGCTGTTGATGCAAGTGTTCATATTCTATTACAGGTATTTGTTGTAGGTGAAAGTGTTCATATTCTATTACACGTTTTAGCTATATATGAAAGTGTTCATATTCTATTACTGTACATGTTTTATCCGTAGATGAAAGTGTTCATATTCTATTACAGGTATTAGCTGTAGATGCCAGGAATCATGGTGAAAGTACACATACAGAGGAGATGAACTACTTCCTATTTAGAGATGATGTGCTCAGATTAATGGATCAACAGGAACTTGAACAAGTTGTTTTGATTGGTCATAGTATGGGTGGCAAAACAGCAATGACAACTGCTTTAACAAATGTGAGAAAATATGTTAAATCATATTTATGATTACTTTTGACTTAAAAGGACATGATAAAATGTTTTTTTCTAGCTGCAGTTTTCAAAGAAAAGAGTTATTGTCATGAATTTCTTGTCAGTGTTGGAGTTTGTTTACGTTTTTGTTAAGGTCCATTTTTCTAAAAGCTAAAAAGCTATTCACATCAAACTTGACATTCAAGTTTATATTGTCATAAAAGTACATGTACACCATTTCTTAATGGCAGTTAATGCTAAAATGATTTTATGCAAAGTTATGCCCCCTCTTAACTTTTAAATCTTAATTTTTTTAGCACTGGTTATCTTTTTTGCTTAGGTCTATTTTCTGAGTAACTAATATGAAAAAGGCAAAGCCTCAAAGCGAGCACGATGTACTTTTAACGTGAAATAGTATGAAATAATCGCTCATTTTTATTTCAAATGCAATGACGAGTGCGTGTGACGTCACACGTACTGTGTTAAATATGGCTCCGCCAGTGTTATTAAATGAATAACGAATTTTGAAAACGTTGATAAAACTTTGTTTGTTTATTTTATTTCACTCTATATTTTTTCAAGCGAAATAAAGATTATTAAAAGTGAAATAAATGTAAAACTTTAAACGTTTGCGACATTAAAATAGCGTACTTGATTTGATTGTTTTGCACGTGCTGTTTGGCGCTACATTGTGACGTCACGTAAACAATACTTTAAACGTCTGTATAGCGTTAACGACTGAATAAAAGATATTGGTGTTCGGTTTCATTTTCTTAGTTAGACCATTTTCTTTTATTCTAGATAGTTTTTACAACAAAATTCGACAAAAAATTTGTTTTTATTTATCAGATTTTTCAAACAAAATGGCGCCTTCAATTTTCATTTTACATTTTCCGTTTTAAAACTGTCATTCGATATTTTATACACAGCTTCCGTTATTCTGGTTCCCTGTCCAATTATGGTTCCCATAGACATGCGCGGGTGACCAGTCTACACATCCGTTTTCAGTCAGAATTTCTCAGTTTTTATCGTTATCTTTAAATTCGAAAAGTTGCGATGTGTCCAATTCGCTACTTCGGACGAAAGTTTTCAAAACCATCACTTAGCAGGTACTCGCGTTACCGTAAAGCTCGCTTTGCGAGCAGGCCCTTCGGGCCAGCTCGTCGAGCTCGCTATTAAAGCTTTTCACTTCAAACTTATTATAAATGTTCACTATCAAATTATGACAATATTTCAGAAAGGCAGATAATCCTAAAATTATTTTTTTCTACTTTCTGTTTTTTTCTTCTTCTAAGGTCAATTGCTCTAAACCTGTTAATCACTTCAAACTTGGAAAACTTTCATTCAAATTGGAATGCATTTTTACATATTTGCCTTTTTCTCAAAAAAAGTATTTACTTCAAACTAACTATCAAGGGCAAGTAAATTTTCTAAGCACATTTGCAGAATTATGTCCCCTTTTTCTATGTAGATTTTATTGAACCATCCAGCACTGAGAAAAGTGGTGGACTGGTTGTGCTGTCCACAGACAGGTCTTGTTTATTTTTATGTTATTATCATCTGATATGAGATTCAAGTAAACACATATATAGAATATATGGTGGTGGTGTTGGTAGTTAACACTCTGGATCACAGCAGTAAGCCACATTGCAGTTACCAAAGCACAGCTCAGACAACCCATTGCTTCTAGGCAGACTGTCAAGCAGTTTACCAGTACTTGTTGCCTTCACTTTTGCAAGGAATTGATATTAAACTTCTATACATGCCAGAGCAGATGTACAGTGCAAGAAGTTCATGATAAATCACAACGAAAGTGACGCACTGTCCTTGAATCGAACCAGGGTCGCCTGATTCACAGTCTAAGGCTGTACATATTGAGCTAACAAGAAGATCATGTAGCATATACATGTAGTGACAAATATGTAGTCCATTTGTGAAGTGGGGAAATGAATTAGATGTGTACAGGGAAGTAATAAATCAGATTTGTGAAGGGAGATAAAAGTCAAGTGTGTACTTTTATGTTGGTGAATTAATCAAGTCAAGCAGATAAATTTTAGGTTGTATCTTAAATGGACTTGTCCATCTTTAAATCTGGACAAAACCATCTGATTATGCTCTTCACTGCTTGCAGGAGTTGATTCAGCTGCTGCAAGCAGGATGAGGGTGAGAAAATAAATACAAAAACACTTGAACTGCTTTTGTTTATTGATATTCATAGACATTTTATTACACTGTGAACAGTATAGGATGTCTTGTTATTGCATATTTCTTAAATAAGTTGTCATGGTAACTATTTCAGCCAGAGAGAGTATCTGGTCTGGTTGTTGTGGACGTCTCGCCAGCAATGAGTCCAAACGTGAATAAAACACCAGCATACCTGGAGGCTATGTTGAGGATTTCGTTGTCTTTCATTGATGCAAACACTGAAGACTCGAACCCTGCCATGTCACAAGTTAGACGTCAGGTGCTAGACGACCTAGCTGTAGCTGTACAAGTAAGTCTGTATGAGTAACATATGTCAATGTTGAAAATTTTATTTAAGTTTTGTATTACATTGTTTTTAAACATTATTTATTTAAGAAATATTTGAAAAAAAAAATCAGGCTCATGGCACTGACCTTGTCATATATATGCTATCTAATTTTTCAAAAAGTGTCAAAGTTGAACTGTTTATTCTGGAAGCCTAAATTTGGCAAAGTAAACATTTTTTGAATACTGTCCTAGGATAATCATGACGTTTATATTATCTACATACATGCTGCATATGTATAGCTTTTTCAATGAAAACAGTTGTGCATGTTTATTAATTTTAATGATTTTTTCCTGACCACTTTTGTCATCACTGATTTGAAATATGTTCATTTATATAAGGACAGCATAGTTTTAGACATGGAGACCTGCTTTTGTATATGTTTAAGGAGAATTTTTCATGATGCCTAGATATTTAATTATTTAGCAAAAATGTTTGGAATTTTTCAAACATGTACCAGTAATTGTTCGAGAGAAAAATATAGAGGATACATCAATATCATTTATATCAGCTCTTACTACCCACAATCTTACAACTGTTTAACAGTGAGTCATCATGCCATGCTTGTAATGTATACGGGCTGGAGACCAAAATCAAATAAATATATTGTCATTGAGTCAGATATTTTTATAACAAATAATATACATGTATTTTACTATCAGGACGAGGCAATGAGACATTTTCTGGCATCAAATCTTACTATACGTGATAACAAACTTACCTGGAAATGTAACCTAGATGCTATAATTAACAACCACAAAGAACTGGCATCATTTCCAGAGTTTGAGGATGAACAATACTATGGCAGGTGCTTGTTTGTAGGAGGTTCAGAGTCAGATTATATCAGGTGAGGTGAATTAAAATAAAATGGTTATGGATTGATTAGTTCACCCGGCTTAATGTATTTTAACTTTTTTGGGTATTGATAGGGGGGCTGGCTGCTTGTACATATATTGTGTTTATTATGTTATGTTCCAGTAAAATACATGTAGTGTTTCAGTGATAAACTGGCAAGCTTTATTTCTGAATTTTGTAAATAACCTTACAGTACTAATCTGAATAACTTTCTTGAATAATACAAAAAGCAATGGGAAGATGAAATCCCCCAGCATAAGTCTTGTGGTCAAGCATTCACCAAATAAGCTCCAGGTTAGGGGTTTGGTGATGATCTTTGGCAAAGTCATTCAAATAATAGAATAAGAGGAAAAGAATGAAAATGGTACTGTTACAAAATTGTAGAAGTTTTATCAGGTAATTGTTTACCGGAATATGTATTTCACTTATAAAATTGTTATAAAATTATGATAAACCTTACTAAATGAATAACTGTGACCAGTAAGTGAGTGATAGTGTGACTGTATAATTCAACTAAAAGAAGAAAGAAATATTTTGTTATTTTGTTGGGTTCCACGTCACACTAAGACAGTATAGGTCATATGGTGATTTCCAACTTTACTAGTGGAGGACAACCTTAAGTGCCCTTTTGTTGTGCCCTTTCGTTCATTATTTCAGGCATGAACAGGAACCTTAGTACAGCCACCGACATTCCGTAAGCTAGCTGGATAGCTTCCTCACATGAAAGTTTCAAAAGTCCTGCCAGGAATCGAACTTACAGCTTTGAAGGTCAAGTGGTTTAAAGTCAACAACCTTAACCACTGGGCACCCCTTGAAAAAATATAAACTTTAACATTAAGTTTATTTTTGTTAAAAGTATGTCTCATAAGATTTTCAGTTTTACAATTTTAGTGTTTCACGTATGTTGTATTTGTTTCAGAGAGAAGCATTATCCAGTGATTAAATCTTTATTTCCATTAGCAGAGATACAGCATATACCAGGGGCAGGTCACTGGGTACACTCTGAAAAACCTCGACAATTTATACATGTTGTAAACAAATTTCTAAGCGACTCTGGTTTATGATAGGAACAGGAACTATTAACATATACAATCTTATTGGTTTAGTATTTCAGAATGTTCAAAAAGGTTATTTTAATTCATTTAGTTTTATTGAGTCTGGAAAATACCACAATGAAATTTTAAAAATATTATATATATTTTTAAGAGCGTGAAAAGTGGGTGAAAATATGTTACAAAATTCATTTCATAGTGAAATCAATAACATTTTCAATCAATATGAGTAAAATTCTAGTATGTTGTATTTGAACTAGTCAGGCCTTACTAAAAAAATAACCAAACTGATGATTAATATTTTGATGTGAGGTTATATATTATGTGTTTTATTTCGCTAGGCATTTTCTTTTGATATAAGGAATGGGAACCATAATTCTAAATTTTCAATCAGTTTCAAACTGTGTGATATCAGTAATATCCCATTGTTATATTTAAGTATAAAAAGCACAAGATAAAATTAGAGCTGCCATTAATAATACAGTTATTTTAAACAAATATTTTATTGTTGAATTGTTGTCTACTTTTTAACAAATGTTTCTTTTTGAAATGTTTTCAATAAAAGATAGTAGTAAATATTGTTATATTTTTATTCAAAAAGCTTGCTGTATTTTGTTTTGTTTCCTGTATTTCTGTCATATTTCCTGTATTTTGTTTGTTTCCAGTATTTCTATGATGATATGTATTTTGTTTGTTTCCTGTATTTCTGTCATATTTCCTGTATTTTGTTTGTTTCCTGTATTTCTGTCATATTTCCTGTATTTTGTTTGTTTCCTGTATTTCTGTCATATTTCATGTATTTTGTTTGTTTCCTGTATTTCTGTCCTGTATATTTTGTTTGTTTTCAGTATTTCTGTCATATTTCATGTATTTTGTTTGTTTTATGTATTTCTGTCAAATGCATTTTGTTTGTTTCCTTCATTTCTGTCATATTTCATGTATTTTGTTTGTTTCCTTTATTTCTGTCAAATGTATTTTGTTTGTTTTCTTCATTTCTGTCATATGTATTTTGTGTGTATCCTGTACTTCTGTCATACTTCATGTGTTTTGTTTGTTTCCAGTATTTCTGTCATATTTTCTGTATTTGTTTGTTTCCAGTATTTCTGTCATATGTATTTTGTTTGTTTCCAGTATTTCTGCCATATTTCATGTATTTTGTTTGTTTCCTTTATTTCTGTCAAATGTATTTTGTTTGTTTCCTGTATTTCTGTCATATGTATTTTGTTTGTATCCTGTATTTCTGTCATATTTTCTGTATTTGTTTGTTTCCACTATTTTTGTCATATGTATTTTGTTTGTTTCCTGTATTTCTGTCATATTTTCTGTATTTGTTTTTTTTCCACTATTTCTGTCATATGTATTTTGTTTGTTTCATGTATTTCTGTCATTTTTTCTGTATTTGTTTCCACTATTTTTGTCAAATGTATTTTGTTTGTTTCCTGTATTTCTGTCATATGTATTTTGTTTGTATCCTGTATTTCTGTCATATTTTCTGTATTTGTTTGTTTCCACTATTTCTGTCATATGTATTTTGTTTGTTTCATGTATTTCTGTCATATTTTCTGTATTTGTTTGTTTCCACTATTTCTGTCATATGTATTTTGTTTGTTTCCTGTATTTCTGTTATATTTCATGTATTTTGTTTGTTTGCTTTATTTTTGTCATATGTATTTTGTTTGTTTCCTGTACTTCTGTCACACTTCATGTGTTTTGTTTGTTTCCTGTTTTTTTGGTCATATTTCATATATTTTGATGGTTTCCTGTTTTCTGTCTAATGTTTTATGTTTGTTTCTTGTTTTTATGTCTTAGTTTATGTGTTTCATTTGTTTCCTGTGTTTCTATCATGTTTCAATCATAGAAAGGCTAGTCTGGTAATTTCTACCGGAATATTATCTGGGCAGGTTTCAATCGGAATATTATCTGGGCAGGTGATTATATTTTACAGGTAGATTTTCCAGTAATAAACGATTGGGTAATGTTGAATAGAACACATTCTCTTTCTCTTTGTTTGTACTAGTACATGTCAATGACTTAAATATCCTATTATATTTGCCAAGTATCCTAAAACGTTTTGAGAGATATCGTTACACAATGCGTATCCAAACAACTGGATTGTTTACGTGCTCTGGATTTCACAAATATTTTTTTATTTGTTTACTGAAATAAAAGCAGTCCTACCACAACAGACTATCCGGTAACTTAATATAAAATGCTACCAACCCTTTAATCACGATGGGACACAGTGACAAGTATACCTTTAAATACATTGATATGCATTGTAGCATAGCATGTTTTGTGTATTATTGTCATCTGTTTATGTATATAAACGGTCCTGTCATTATCAACCGAAAATATAATATCTAACTTCCTCCAGTTACCGAAACAAGAGATGAATGTAACAAGAGACGAATCGTGCCTTTTAGGGGCACGGAAAGTCTCGGTTGTCGCCAATTATATTGTAACGTGAGACGATTACAAATTGTTAAAGTACTTATACACATATCGTACTAAGGGTTTTCCTTCTTCGTGTCTTGTTTTAAGATAAAGTGGTTACTTGTATTCTTAACTTTTTTTTAAATTTTTAACTCTCATCTAAGTTGAATCAGTGTGAGCTGTTAGGATAGACAAATGTCCGTCGTCTGGTCGCATTTTGCCTTGTCGTCTGGTCGCATTTTTCCTTTTCACGAAACTTGGAAGTTTATCCCAGTTTTAACTCGGTTGAGTTAGATTATGGGTCATATCGGATGAAAAACTAGGTAACATGACCCTAAACTAGAAAGATCACCTGGGTCAAAAACAAGTCACAGGGCCCAAGTATGGAAAAATATCGTTAACACTTAAGAGGTAACATTGTCTGCCTGAAGTTAATGGGAATTTGTCAGAAAGAGTGAGATATTTTCTAGCTAAAGTTAAAAAGAGTCATCTGGGGTAAAAAAATTAGGTCACAAAGCCCAAATATTAAAAAAAGCAAAAACAACAAAACAATGTTAACATTCAAGAGGTAATATTATTAGCCCAAATATTTTGGAAGCATGAAAGACTGATGCGATGATTTGGCCACAAAGCCCAAATATAGAAGAAAAAAACAACATTATTCACATGCCCACTTTTTTCCGATGCAGATATGAGCGTTGTGATTAAGACCTTTATCTCCTTTTATTAATAGTTAACACTATTAGTTGTCATTAAGCGCCATAGTAATTGGGTGATATATGAGCGCCACCATGACCCTCCTGTTTAGAAAATTTTTTGATTTAATGGTTATATTTGATGGTTTCATTTGTTCTGTTTTGTAAAATCATAAATTGAATACCATATACATATATGTTTTTCCGAAAATTGGAGAATTTACGAATTCCCGCGGTACCGAAAAACAGCAATGCTTTCAGCGCTTTGATTTTATCATCATAAAAAAGTGTATATAATGATTTCCTGTTAGATTTTATTTTATTTTTTTAAAAGTTAAAATATAGTATGAGTAAAAATACAAATATAAAAAAGTATATAAGATATATCGTATAAAAGAGCCTAGGTGGTTAAAAAATCTACAAAAGCATAATCATGAACATGTATATATATTACTATGAAATAAATGAATGAAAACATTTTAAAGCATCTAACTTGATAACAGACATCTACTTTTAATATAGATGAGTATTTAATATTAACATGCGTCTAATCATATATTTGTTTGTTTTAAAATAATCAATTAAAGAATGTATATTAAGTAAAGTGATCATAGGTGTATTTATCTGTCCGCCATATGTTGATCAGATTACCCTAACTTATTAATATGAGTTAGCTCTCATAATGTTTCCAAATCATTGAAATAAAAGATATATGTAAAACATAGAATTCTATATAGGTATATTGAATGGCACATATTTAAACAAATACTTATATAAATTTACTTACATACCACCTCGACATAAACTCGATTTATTTGATAAATTAGTTATGCCAATTTTAAATTATAGTAGTGAAATATTAGGTTTTACTAATGATATATCAATAGAAAGAGTTAATTTGCAATTCTGTAAAAGTATTCTTGGTGTGAAAAAAACAACCCAAAATGATTTCGTTTATGGAGAACTGGGTAGAACCTCTTTACAAGTTATTCATCATATGAACATTGTTAAATACTGGGTAAAGATATTAAGAACACGCGAAAATAAGTATATTTATTTGATCTATAACATGTTAAAATTAGATTTTGAACGAGATGAGCGTAAGGTAAACTGGTGTTCAATGGTTAAAAATTTATTATGTTCTCTTGGTTTTTATGATGCTTGGTTAGAGCAAAATGTTGGTGATGTTGAATTATTTTTATCTTCAGTTAAACAAAGATTAACAGATCAATTTATTCAAAACTGGCATAGTAGACTAAATGTTTCAAGCAGAGCATTATTTTACAGAAACATAGCATCTTTCCAAAGTCAGCCATATCTTGAATGTTTTTCAATGAATAAATTTTGCCAAGCATTATCTAGATTGCGTGTTCATCACACAGGTTACAAATTGAGTCAGGTAGATGGGCACGTCCAGTAAGAATTGAAATAAATGAAAGGAAATGTAACTTATGTGGTTTATTGGAGGATGAATTTCATTTTGTAATTGAATGCTATCTTTACAATGATTTAAGGAAAAAGTATATACCAAGATACTATTGGAATAGACCAAATATGTTTAAGTTTTTAGAATTGATTAAATCTGATAACAAAACTGTAATTAGAAATTTAGGAATATATGTATACAACGCTTTTGCTATTAGAAATAACGTTATGTACGGGCAATGATACATGTAAAATAATGTATATATCTCAGCATTTTTCTTCTCTCTTCTTTTGGTTGCCACAGCACAGTGGAAATATTACTCCTTTCAAGATATAAAATTCAATACTAAAAGTTTCAAAGAGAAAAGAATAAAAAAATTAATGATATTTGAATCAATCTACAGTTATTTTGATGATGATGTTTCACGAATAGCCAATGAGTTGACCTTTTCTCTTTTGTTTTCGATTTCGATAAAGGTTGACTAAAAATTGGAGTACTATTCCCATGATTGCATATATATTATAATGTATTGTATTGAATAATTGTTTCTCCTCTATTGCAGAAGTTATTTTAAGGTTGAGTTTCAACCTTCTCCTATATTTCAAATATTTGAAAAAGAGATGTATTATTATCATTATCATGCATTACTCTGTCATGTCATATATATTATGTTTGTAATATGTTGTCCTCATGGGCTTATAAGCCTATTGGAAATGAAATAAATAAATCTAAAATTTCTATAACACGGGGGTAATACAAGGGGTAATACAAGATGTTGCTTATAGCGATAACTGTCTTGGCTGGTATCTACACTCCATCAGCTACCCCATCTCTAATTGGATCACTGAACGAAACAATTTTGGTCTTTTTCCCAGCAAGTATATTCTGTATGTTGTTTTCTTGTTTGTCCATAGTGAGAATTGCCTGTACAGAAGACCCAAGTCTCTCTCTAATATCAAACTTATGTCCACGAGCCTTAAGACCGTCAAAAATCACCTGGCATAAATTAAATAAAATACTATATATTGTTCATTAATTGAAATTCAAAATGTTATGAAAATAATTAAGAAATTTCAATACATTTATAATGTTTTAAATACAGCCATGTCATTGAGGGAGTACATGTAGTGGTATTTTCGTACGAAAGGGCAACAATTGACAATTTGCCTCGTCAGGACGACAAAACGTACATGTTTTGTTATAAAGCAGATCGATTGTCACGTGACATTTTAAATAGTGAAAATTTGCATTTCAGCCATTCCGGAAAATAACTGAGAATCTCGTTGTCTTGGCAGAAGTTGTTTATAATAACATTCAAATACATAATCTATAATTCTTCACTGCAGCAAGCTTGTTCTACGTTCATATTGCTCTCTGAACATGTCAATTTAATATACCTCAAAATACCAACATCATACATATATTCAAGATACTTTTTCATGTTCTTATACTGGTATAGTAAACAGTGAGATATTTGTACATGTATATCTATTTTCTAATTAATCTAATTAAAAAAACAACAAAAACATTCCTTACTTGAGGCATGGCTTGTTCAATACGTAGATCCGGCGGAAGTAGTTGATGGTGTATCCTGGGAAACTCCGTGGACTCTTTGAGACCAAACTTCAACATTAGTGTTTGTATAATACTCTGTGTAATAAAGAAAGGAGTTGTCATTTATCCTCTCACTAGATTGCATGTTAGATTCATGTCTATCTGTGTTAAAGACCACCTCTTATTAGGATCGCCATGTATATAAAAACTACTCTGAGACCACCCTTCATTGATTAATGTGCCGTTCGGTTAGCATCATAGGTTGAGCATCAAACTGTGAATCGGGCGACCCGGGTTCGATTCTCGCACGGTGCAGGTCTCGTTCATTGTAACAGATCGTGAAATCCTTTCTAGGGTCATTAGAACTGTACCTCTACTCAGACATGTACATAAGTTATCAGTTCCTTACGGAAGTGAAGGCTACTGTTAAATTGCTTGACAGCCTGTCTGGCTAAACTTTGCTCTGGTAAATTCAATGTGGCTTACTGCCGTGATTCAGAGTGAAAACTACCAACACCACAACCTCCCTTCATTGATTATAAAGAACAAAATAACCCCCAAATACAGACCACTTGTCTGTAAAGTACATTTTATGGTCTTTGTTAACAGTTTGGCTGTACACGATCTTATGCAGAACGTCAATTTTTCAATTTGACTTTTTTTTAAAAAGAACTTCAAAATAACGCTTTCTGGCAAGGATTTCTGATGCTAGATCCATAACGATCTTGTGTTACATTGAAGGACTTTTTTGAACAAACTTAAAAAGTTGGTATCAAACATTTATAAACGTACAAAAATAGATATACCCATCTATACCGGTATCAAGTTAAATGTAACAACTTACTAAAGCCGTAGAAGTGATGATTCTTGTACCACCGGTTGCTCCCGTCACTAGTTTGACGTCACCGTCTTTATCCAATACTATTGTAGGAGACATTGACGATAGAGGGCGCTTATAAGGTTTAATGAAATTGGCGGGAGACGCTGGCACTCCAAAATAGTTAGTGGTATTTGGAGTAGAAAAGTCGTCCATTTCGTCGTTAAATACAATTCCAGTGCGCGACCCAACAATTTTGGATCCAAAACTTAAAGTAAAATAAATATTAAGTTTCATAAAGACTTGCTGACTTTGTGTTAAGTTAAAAAAAAGGTGCAGACCTATTCACATTTCAAAGACTCAGCATGGGCAAACTGTGTTCCCTAATATTGAATTCCCAATTCTTTAGAAATAAACATGATAATTATAGCAACAACCACTAACCAAATAAAACCTCTCCATAGATCTACATGTTTCACTTACTAGATGTTAATTGTACTAGTTATTGACACTGCGTCACCTTCTGGTCCGATCACAGATATATGTGATGTTCCGGCATTTGGTATGTTAAAACTGTATGTTGGCTCGTAATAGGCTGTATCATGGGTATTTGTCGTTATCTTTGCTCTTTTCGTCGCACCCCATGTCAGTGACGTCATATTTTGCAAAAGCTATTTATAGAAAATATTTGCATATACATGTATGATAAATTAAACACTATAAAGCTTTTAAGAAACAATCAAATTTAATGTATTTAGAGCTAAAAAGATCTAATCTGAAAAATATAGGCATATTACTACACGTGTAAAAACTATAGTTTATGTATAATATAACGATTTTTATATATTATATGCGCATTTTTTTCTACTTTTAGCGGCTATGCTACATATCATCATATTAATATACATGTTAACATATAGACTTGCACACCTCGAGTATAGTGTCTTTATCCTCTTGGTTTTCTTGGTCCATGTCACCTAAGTTAGTCCTCACAGAAAACCCGTGCTTAAATGCTTCGGTAATTCTATGGTAAGTTTCCACGGCCTTCTCTCCTGTAGACACACTGTCCGCATTCATATTGAAACCTAGACATAAGAAAGAATACTTTCTTACCCAGAATTTATCTTGAAAAAAGCACAAGAATAAAAACACACATACACAAAAAAAACAACACAACATAAACATCATCATCATCATCATCATCATCATCATCATCATCATCAACAAGAACAACAACAACAACACATTGCTGACGGAATGTTTGTCCATAAGAAGATAGCCAGTTGGTGGTTTATACACATTTATTTTAGTTCGACTGTGTTGAAAGCTATAAGCTTATTGAAACATTCTCGAATTCGTTCCTGGATCCAACCAGTACAAAGCAATTAATTTAAAGATTCTTGCTCAAGGAAACAACGGCTTCCCCCTGACATGGTTTGAACCTACGCGGTCAGCAATTCTTAGAGTACTAGTATAGTTAGTCCGACGCGTTAACCACGTGTGTGTATTTGCGTTTATTTATACTCGCCACCGGTTGCCCATATGGGCGAGTCCTCCAGAAGAGTATTAGTAATTTTATTTTTTTGGAGGATAGTGCAATTACAGATACAGAAAGATGCCCCAATTCCAGAAGCTTCTCCTGGTTCTTTAGCGTGCCAAGTGTTTAAGCACCAATACACGGGACCTCGATTTAAAGTCTCATCCGAAAGACTGATTAGTAATTTTAGTTGGCCAGCCCGGGAATCGAACCCACAATGTCGAGATTACAAGTCTCGCGCTCTAACCGATTGAGCTATGCGGGCTGGCTAACCACTCGGCCTCGCCACCACTTAAATAGCCAGTTAAAGTGAATTGGTATATAATGGGGTCATTGTTCACCATAGTACATGTATTTCAATTATTTATATATAAAAAATAATATATAAAATTTAGAAGAATTTTTTACTCAAACTTAATGTCTTTGACTTTTGTTGATAATTTTTTCTGAGCAATAATCTATTCGAAATATTTGTTGCACTGCACACATCTTGAAAAATGATGGTTTTTTGAGATAAAAAATACTCCTAGTACTGTGCTCAAAAACGTTGATCTGATATTTTGGTTACCTTGCGAAACACTTCAGACTTAAATATTCGCGAAATTTTAGCCTCGCGTAAATATCTGATTTTGCAGTATGAAGTGTGTGATAACGATTATTAATGGACTATCACTATATAAAAAAGTTAAACGGTGAGGCTTGACTAAGACTTTAGCTCTAGGTCACAGGCCTGTTAAATAGTGTTATGTGACCAGGACCCGACCCCAAGTCTATGGATGAGCCCTCTAAAGCTCTTTAACTATCAATACAAATATACCATGACATAGATTATAATGTACATTACCATCTAAAATGTTGAGAATAAGCAGTATAACAGCTCCACTTGAGGGTGGTGGTGGGGACAGTACTCTGTAATCTCCACCAGACAGGTCTACAGACAATGCATCCTTCACAGCTGCCGTGTATTTCTCAAGGTCATCTTTAGTGATAATACCAGCTACAAGGAGAGCGTTTCACTTATTTCAACATTTTTTTATATAAACATGAGCTAAACTTATACTGCCCTCACACATACCTCGCGACCTTACTGCGTCCTTACTGCGACCTTGCTACGACCCAGGACGCAGCACAGTCGCCATGGACGCAGCAGGGACGCAGCGAGGTCGTAGCGAGGAACCCAAGGACGCACAAGGTCGCAGACCGTCGGCGACTATTTTGAACATGCACAAAACAGTCGCAGAAACTCTGCGTTCTTGCTGAGTCCTGGTTAGGTCGCCGTGGGATCGCAGTGGAGTCGCCATAGTCGCAGCAGCATCGTAGTAAGGACGCAATAAGAACGCAATAGACGTAGTACACTCGTACTAAGGACACCGTAGAGTCACCGATGAAATTACAAGAAATTACTCGGAAACCTTTGGCGACGCTATTTCTACACACTGTGAACCACTACCAAACTGCATATCTGAAGCGGCGACTGGGTCAACTTGTAGCACTTTAGAGACCCTCGCTCTTTTGCCTCGTCCGCCTCTCATCTTTGGAATAATATGGATGATTTAACTTAATACTAATTAAATATACGTCTTCACTCGTTGAAGGTCAGACTCAGAATGAAATTTTCTGGTAAAAAGTATTGTTTTTATAGACGTAGCAAGAACGTAGTAGGGTCGTCGAACAGTCGCTGGACAGTCGCCGGACAAACGCAATAGTCGTCGTAGAGTCGCCGTTAGGACGCAGAGAACATAGCACAGTCGCAGCTGGGTCGCCGATGATCGCCGTGGGGTCACCTTGGGGACGCAATACAGTCGCAGTGGAAACGCCATGGACGTAGAAGGGTCGTATTGAGGACATAGAGAAAACGTACTGAACTCAAGACTGCAGAGCCCCGGACCGTCTGCGAGAGAAATTTGAAAGAAAACCAACGATTTTCGAAAGAAAAATGCTATTTTACTAGTTTTCAGGTCGCAGTAAGGTCGTGGTTTATGTGTGAGGGCACCTTTAACAGCAGCGTTTTAGGTCTTTAAACATATTAGTTATTGTAAAACGAACCTGGGATAAGCTGATTAGGAAGCTGTAAAATCATGATGCCACAAATAATCCGTGTATAACAGTGACATGAATTTATAATACTAAAATAAGAGAAGCTGATACCTTTGAAAATCATTCAAAATCACTACTTACATTTATTAAAAAACGTGCAACAACTTTAATTAATTTAAGGTAATCCCGGATAAGTACAGACTTTTCGTGCTATTTATTAGTACGAAAACAACAGCAACAACAAAAATAACACTAAAAGTTCTAATAAAGGTTTCGGGAGGAGTTCTATTTTTTTTAATTTACATACCGCCATCAGCAATATCCTTTGCAATATCGTCTGCTAGAGACCCATTATAATATGCGTACGGGTCGGCTGCTATTTTTTCAAATGTTGCTCCAAGTTTTGGTAGTTTCAAAGTTTCCCCTTCCTTCACTATTTTCCCAGTTTCTGTATTCGTCAACATAGCCCTTGCAAAGTCAATTATTTAAATATGTTATTACTATTTTAACACAACAGAACATGACACGTTCATTGTACATTATCAACAATATAAGAACATATTTCCACAATGAACATGAAAATGGGAACGAATTAAATAAGGTTATAAATGAAAGCAATGCACTTGCAGATCATGCATTTTCAAATCTAACAGAATAATTGACGTCATAATTCACAATTGTTAGATATAAAATGTACAAATAATTGACAATATATGCCAAATAAAGTCATAGACAAACCATGTCCTTTGCCTAACTGTTTTATTAATTTTTTACTCAGTTATTCTTATTATGAATTCAACTTATTCTTTATGGAAACCATCTATATATAAAACCATCGTCGGGACCCACTACTACATTTGATACTGGTATATGGTAGATATAGCTTGGATTGCCGAGGATGATATAAAAACAAATGTTGCTTGAATCTTACTTCAATTCCCCATAACGATTTATATGTTCAATATTAATTTTAATGTCGGTGTCGAGGAGTTTACCAACAGGAAAACCTTGTTTACACATCTGAATAACAGGTGCGAATAATTTAGACCAGGGAAGTTTGCCACCAAGTTTCCAAGCTTCGTGTAGTCCCTTGATCTCTCCGGGTATACCGATAGACATTCCGCCTATAATGAAAAGATACGCCCACGTGACTTTCATGGTAGAAAACATGAACAATGCAAAGAATTTTTTTTTTTCAAAAAACTGACATTCGGGATGTAGTCGGTAACAACAAGGTAAAAAACACAAACACAAAAAACTGCCTCTTGTTTATAAAAAAAGACACTGTAAATAATGTTCAGCTTTTTATATTTACCAATTAAATAAGTAGGGAGAATTGACCAAACTAAAGAGGGATATTTATTTGAGCAACATTCGAAACATTATATACAACCATACTATGTAGTTTTAGGTACATGTATATATATTTGTGTCCCGAATTGAAATACTTTACACATGTTTTACATCTAAACAAAAGAGAAGCTTAATGCGGACATTGTTTACGCCCCTTGTCTGTTTCAGATTATATTGTACATAAATACATACTTATATAGCAGATTACCTTCACGTGAAGAAACGTTTTCATCCACATACATGTCTGCTGTCGCCGCACCAGGGGCCATCTCTCGCGCCATTATTGCATAGCCTTTACTCTCAGATCTTTAATTGAAACGTTTGGCAAAGGTCAACAGTAGACTGCGTGAATCATAGCCAATTTGTAACATTATGTGTATATGTAGTTAAAATTGTATTTTAATTTATAAGCAACATTCTGTAAAGTACATAAAGATCATCATTATATTTTATAAAAATAATTTCGTTTACTACTAGTATTTCTATGTACTGCACTGTAACACCTCTAGTAAATGTAATATGTAAGTAGTTCACGTGTATGTTTGATAAGGATCCATTAGGTTTTCAAAAAAGAAAAAGAAAAACAACAACAATACAAAACAGAGAGCGGGTTTATAACTAGGGATGCCTCATTAAATATCTAAATACCAAATGATATAATATTATAAGGTTCAAAGTGCTTTTCAGAAAACTTTTATAATGTTCGAAGGCAAAGCTGGAATGCAACATACCGATCTACATGTATATGTATAGTGTACTTTGAATGAAAGCCATAAAGAAAATAGCATATACCTTTTATAGTATGTCATAAAAAATCCACCCCCTATTCCACAACTCTGTGGGTTGTATACACCGTTACATAGGATAGCAACTATAGCGGCGTCCACTGCCGAACCCCCATGTCGCACCATTGTCTCACTGCAATATATACTAGTATCAGCATTGTCACAAATCTTAATACAGTATCACTTAAACCAACAATAAAGTCAATTATTAACACATATTTGAAGCCTAATATATTAATTCAATTAATGATGAATTTGAATTCATAATGCATGGTCAAAATTAGGCTAAATTTACAGAGACCCACTTCCCAATGGTCCGCTACAGTCTTTTATAAATCTATTGGTTGAAACACATGCACCTAAGCAAATACATTTCAATTCAATTTAACGTTTTCTTAGCGAACACTATCCCCTCTAAAACTTCATTTGAAACAATACTCTAATACTATTATAGATTTAAACGCCAAACCGAAACATTATGATCTGTCATATTTTACCTATTTACTTTTTCATTGGGCTAAGTGAAATGTTTTAAGATGTTATCAATTGAGACCAACTTTCAAATTAAACTTAAGATCAATATTTACTTTCATGCAATCGTTTTAAAATTACATTTACCTTGAAAAGGGACGATGAATTGTGTATGCAAAGCATGTCCTTCTCTAAGCTATCGTCGTATTCTACACTTACATAATTAATTGTATAGATTAAACGATACATTAAACTGGCAAGATTTTTTTGAAAGTACCATCGACGACAATCGTGTAGAAAAAAAGAACACCTTTAAATTTTAATATCAATCACGGATTTAATAATGTAAATTACGGGTTGACTCACGTTCCATAATACGAACATATTTTAGCATCTGTAGATACGCTGGCATATCGATAAAATCCCTCGTTCATCTTCGTTGGTACTACATATATCGGCGAATCTTTGGTCAGTCTTGATGACGATTGTGGCCCTGCAGGTGCCGGACAGTCCATTTTAGATTGATTATCATCGTCATCTTTCTGAAGTCCAAGGCCAAGTCCAATAGCAACAGCTACAATACATGCCACTACAACTATGACAGCTATTGCCCAGGCTCTAGACTTCGACATACTGAAACAAATCATACAACAATGACAGTTATTGCCCAGGCTTTAGACTTCAACATACTGAAACAAAATATACAACAATGACAGCTATTGCCCAGGCTCTAGACTTTGATATACTGAAACAAAATATACAACAATGAAAGTCTTGCCCAGGCTCTAGACTTCGACATACTGAAACAAATCATACAACAATGACAGCTATTGCCCAGGTTCTAGACTTCGACATACTGAAACAAATCATACAACAATGACAGTCATTGCCCAGGCTCTAGACATTGATACACTGAAACAAAATATACAACAATGACAGTTATTGTCCAGGCTGTAGACTTTGATATACTGAAACAAAATATACAACAATGACAGTTATTGCCCAGGCTCTAGACTTTGATGTACTGAAACAAAATATACAACACTTTTTGCCCAGATTCTATGCTTTTATATACATTTGTACTGAATCAAAATACACATTAATGACATATAATGTCCTGTTTCTAGACTTTGATATACTGAAACAAAATATACAACAATGTAAGTTATTGCCAATGCTCTTAAATTTGATATACCGAACCAAAATATACAATAACGACAGCTAATGTCCTGATTCTAGCCTTTGATACACTGAAACAAAATGTACAACAATGACAGTTATAACCCAAGCTCTACACTTTAATACTGAAGCAAAGCAGTTATTGCTAAGGCTCTAAACTTAAATATAGTGACAATTATACTGGTAATTATAGTTGTTTTAGAGCTAAATGAACTGACAGTAGGTCATAGAGGCCCATATATTAATATTTACAACTGAATGTTCAACCAGTTAACTTCATTTAAATATATGTATATTTGATTTCGAATCGCCTTTGTTATGTGACCAAGGACTTTGGAAAAAATCCAGTATAGCCATAAAAAAGAATATTATTTTAAGTACAAATCAAGGACAATACTGTAGTAACTGGTACATCGCGACTCCAAGTGTGACATAAAATCTTATTGTAAATGACAATAAAATGCTTTACATGTAAGATCAAATTTCAAGAAGTCATCGAGTAAAATGCGAGATTCCTACTTCTTTCATATGATAAACTAAATTATTTAAAAAAGCTAGGACAGTAAGGTGAAGTTTACAAAATATAATGCAAACCGAGAGCTGGTTTATCACGTGACTGTATTATATTACATGTAAATGTATCAATTTTGTAAATATGTAACGATGATGTACTAATGGTACAAATCTAATAAAATAAATGTTCTGATCTGTTCTTAAATTTTATAACGTATTCGAGAAATTTAATAACGATTCGTTATTTTGACTGCAAAACTTATTTCAGATCATAGTTGTTGTTGTTCAAATAAGTTTTAAACATTAAACAGTCTAGATTTGTATTCATATGATTTTTTTTTAACTGTGTAAGCTTTTTGTTAAAGTTAAGTAATATCAAATGTAAGATGTTTTAATTAACGTTTGTACGATAGGCGGTATAGACCTTTAACCTTTGTCGAAATAAATCTCATTTACAAAAAAAATAAATAAAAAAAAAAATAAAAATAAATAAATAAATAAAAAATAATAATAAAAAAATGAAGATATGAAGATCTAATTGTTAAACTCGTAAGCTGCTTATAAATGTACATAAAGTAAAAACAAAAGAACCAAATTTATGATCACCGTTTATTATAGTGCCAATGACATAGAAATATGATGACATCTATTCAGAGTATAACTTGTCTACCAGTTGTACGAATGTTATTATCGTATTGATACAATGGCAGTACTCTGAACATTGTCCATAAACATTATTACCATTGGTTAGCCAATTGTAAGTAAACTTACCAATAGTTACTAATGGATTTACTCTAAAATCTACCAAGATAATTGTGACCCTTTAAAGTGTTTTATTCGGACCACTTTGTGACTGTCGAAACAGAACTTTACCCGATACAAAATGACATTATTTAAAATGAACTTTGTGGTGCATTCATGTTACATGCACCGTAAAATAGAATATAGGACAGAATGACATTTCAAAAGTTTAGGTATCACATTTCATTACCTATTAAAATTCAACTTCTTTCATATCGTTATTTGCATTGTATTTACTTAATAAAAATCTAAATCTAAGATCGTGGTGCATTTTCTCTCTCATTGTTATGTGAGACTTGCACCATGATAAAAAACAATTTAGTATTTGAAGCACAAACGGTTTTAAAGTACAGTCATTGTTAAGACTGTATTTAGGCAAAGAACTATTCCACAAATAACTTGTTAGATAAGTTTTAGCAAATTTGTGAGTTAAATTAAATTTTCAACTTAATGCTAATTTTCATAAAATCTTTGAAAATGTTATTGACACATTACAATCGGCATTTAAAATCCACAGAAATTACTAAAAATAGGTCAAAATATGCAAAAACGGCACCTACTGCATTTGTCACGCACTAGAAATTTTGTAATAGATTTTTCTAAATCAGTCTTAATCACACATAACATGTAAAATATTACTTGAATATAAGATCTTAGTACATGTACATTTTTCTCAAGTTCGATTAAGAAAAATAATTTTTGGCTCATCTTGTGGCATGCAGCTTTAAATTAATCACTAGCGAACCAAATACTCTTGTTGTTTTATAGACTTTCAACATTCTTCACCATACTCGTATTTATTTAGAATCTGAACCGTATTAGTATAATTCTTTTTTACTAAAGTGCAAATGTCGCAAAACATTACTTGTAAAGTTGTAGCATATGCAGAACTTTTTCTTGTCTGGATCTCGTTTTTTCTGCTTAGAAATCTGGTAAAATTATTTACAATAATTATGCTAGAAATACCTGGGAAGACAGCCACATCTTCCATTACAATACTAACAATAATAATGACAATAATAATGATAAAATAATATTATACATGTATATACATTTTTGAAAGTATATATTGACGTTATTCCATCTTAAATATTGGAAGCAGCAGCAGAGTCTACTGCTATTGTTTCAGAATTAGTATTAATAGCAGCTGAAGCAGAAATAACAGCAGCAGTTTGAATAGCAGCAGTAGTATAATTAGTTGCAGAATATAAATATCTAGGGACATATTTTTTGCAAGAATATGAATAAGTGTAACCCCTCTGCAATTTTTAGCGTATTAACATCTCCTTTTTTAAAGACAGGCATTATGATACCCTCTTCCTAAACTTTAGGATATTCACAACTATTGTAGAGTTTTTATAACAATGAGGATATTATATTGCAAGCTGCTTTAAAAATTAACATATTAATTTATCATTTCCTTGAGATTTATTGTTGTTCTGAGAAAATATAGCTTTACTTAACTCACACTAAACAAGTCAATTTTCGTTAAAAAAAGAAGTTTTAATATTTATTTGAGCTTGCATCACCAAATAATGCTTTAAAATGGTCGTAAAGTTGTTAACCATTTAACTTATCAGTCTTTTCATTTTTACTTCTTTTTATAAATGTTTTGCAAAAAAATCCGGGGTTAAGATTTAGCTAATTTATTTATTCTTAAACCTCCTTTTATTTTGAACTTAGAACAATACCAGGATGCTATTTAAAAATGACTAAAACAATGAGTTTGGTTGTTGTGTCCGCGGCATTAATCATAGTAAATATAGTATATCATATAATTATTATGTATATAAAGAACCACGAAACTGTGAACAAGTACATTGGAGAAAATATTTGATTTTTTTACTACCAAATTAAATACTCTTCATTCATGTATTTTAGAATGAATATCAATTAATGTAAAACGTTATATTTGTTTAACGTCACATTAAACATTCCTTACTTCAACTTTCATCTTGTTTAATAACATTAGCTTGAAATATTGTTAAAAATATGATTTTCCTGTATAACAACAATAGCTTTAAATCTTGTTAAAAATATAATTTGCTTGTTTATCAACATTAGCTTTAAATGTTGATGTCGTGTTTATGAAACATATACACCCGCCGACAACTTACATGTACATGTTATTAACGACTAAACGACTAAATAAGAAGTTATTCATAACCGTGGACATGTTAGTTTTTGTCAATTAAATGTTTAACCCAGGCATGAAAAAATGAAAAAAAGGCTGTAATTGTTTATGTCAAGTAACGCTGTCATGTAAAATGATTAAGAAGTTTCATATACAAAACAAAATTAAAACAAACCTGCCACTCATTTTGCTCTACATAAATCCTGCTGTAGAATGGACATGAACCGATGCGTATAAAGTACATAAAGTTTGAAGAGCTTCGATGCGCAGATATAATAAGAATGCATATTTACTTAAAACCCTTTCACCACTAAATGCGTATATTGGATTCGCTCTGCTTTAAAGGTATGAACTTTCCATTATCACGATGAGGGGTTTCGTTTTCAAAAATAAACAAGAAATATCTTTAAAAAGATACTCGGACGAGGTAAAACTTCTTTTACTTGCACGATGTCTTTTGGTATGCAAATGTTTTTTCCCCCGGGATCATGGACGTTACAGGTAGTCTCGTCATTTTAGAATGGCATTTATAACTTGGTAAATTCTTTTATTGAATAAAATATTCACAAGAGTATTAATATTATTTTTAAAAGCAATGGGAAGAAGTTCACAGATTTCAAATATCCTAGAAATTTAACTGGAAAGTTTGTTTCCGATACTCCTTTAGATTTTTTTATAATTTGGACGTGTATACGTTTCAGAAAGATCCTTTAAATTATTATACTCATTTTAGAATGGCCAATAAGATTCCTGAATTTCAGTTTGAAATTTTAAAACGACCAATGACCAATGACCCTCTAGTATTCAGTTCTTTCCTGTAAATTTTACAGGAAGTCAAACCGATCTCACACTGACTTTGTCCAAAAAAAGAGCTCATAACAGGTGGTGGTATTGGTAGTTTACCCTCCGGATAGCGACAACAGTAAGCCACTTTGAATTTTCAAGAGCCCAGTTAAGCCACGGCATCGTTCCTGTGCATGCTGTCAAACTGTGTATAGTTAGGCCAGAATACGAAATATATTTGTACGACTAGATTTCCCTGAAATCGAACTTAAGTTTTTTTTGCTTCCTTAAACGATTACTATTTATATATGATGTAAGTTTTGCTATTTCTATTCGTCGTGTATTAAACTGTTTTAAATAGATTATCCACACATATAGCAACAGCTTAGAATATTTCTGTGTATATTCATGCATTTTTGTAGATCATGTATGGTGCACAAACGTTGTCTTTTTTAAGCGGTTACCATCATGTTCCGTACACAATTTAGTTATTTGAAATTTATTTTGCACAAAAAAACTCAAACTTTTTCAGGAATTATGTGACAATTACGTTTCTTCTGTTGGTTTTTAATATCACTTATTACACGCCGTTTTTAAAGTATATAATGTTTTTGCCTATTTAGCGTCTCATTCGGAGCACCTCACTGATTTAAGTTTTAAAGAAGTGATCGATTTTAACGTGTTTATGCAAAACCTTTTTTCTGAAAAGTATTCATTTTCAGTGGGGATACAGAGTTTGCAAGGGGATGTGCGTTCAAGCTCTACTGAGAGCCAACCTTTATTCTATTCTTATTTTTTTTTCAGTTGGCTTATTACTTAGTGCACTCCTTTTCTGAAAGTATAAAATGACACATCCGCTTTCAAATGGTCTAAAATGTTTTTTGCCTTCTTCATCTGAAGATTTTTTATTTTCATTAAGAATACAGAGTTTGCATCGGGTGTGTATTTAAGCCCTACTGAAAGCCAACCTTACTTTTTAATTTGTGACGTTTTATTTATATTTCTGTGTGTGTCTGGTCAGGTTATGATTTTACAAATAGGATAGTTTTATTTATCTATGCAAGTTAATGTTTCCGAATCTGGATGATAATTTAAAAATCTGGATAAAATGTGATCCCTCGGTAGCATTATTCACAACAATTAAAATTACATGAACATTGAAGACTCGGTTTGATTGAGTCTGTACATCAGGAATAATGAAAAAGTGCAACATCCCACACGCTCCCTTGCACCGGCTTGAGCGGTAATTGTTTTTCTTTAAAAAAAAGAGTTGGAACCAATTTAATGATCTCGAAGGACCAGAAAAAATATTAACAACACTGAAGTGAAGTGCGGGGTAACTTTTACAGCTACCATACAGCACTTAACACCTGTTGTTGTGAAGTATAAAAATCTGGATAAATGTGATCTCTCGGAAGCATTAATCACAACAAAATTACACTAAAATTGCATCGCTTTATTGAGTCTGTACATGTGGGATAATGAAAAAGTGCAACATCCCTCACGCCCCCTCGCACCGGCTTGAGAGGTAACTTACAAAATTAATGTTTAAAATTGTATCTCGGTATGAAGATTTTGGGATACCCAACTGAAAGATAAAATATGAACGGGTTTCTGAACCCACCCTCAGCCAAATTTTATCAATCTCATCGATATACCGGTTCAAATTAACTTATTTTTTGTCAGATATGATTTTCTTTGGTTTGGTTTCTTTTCATTTCAAACCTATGGTTGATTCTGACCATCTTAAAAGTAAGATGAGAAATAAAAAAAGTAAAACTGCTCTTTAACTGATGAATACATATGTGTTATTGTTGTTCTATATAAATGATATAAAAGTTTAAATGAAATCGTCAATACGTTTTGTATTTGTGTCAAGGACATGATAAAGTTTGATAACGACATGACTTTTGAAACATTGTCAATTATATATCTAATACCTTTAAATATTTTTATAGTGAAATCTAGTCTTTACACATTTTTTTTATATTTTGCTTTCGCATATGTAATGACAATGATTTTAAATATTTTGAAGATAAATGTGCGAAGATATTTAGCGGTGCGCAACCTATATGGGCGTGACTTCAAAGCGAAACTAGAGAAAAGAAATTAAGCAATGAAGAGAATAGTAAGTTCCTTTTTTAAAATATGATTATATATCTTTTAGCATGTAGGCATTTTTGTAAACATTAAGGCAGTTTATAACTTTAAAGAAAGTTAGATCATACTAAACTAAGTTAACGTTAAGAAAGGGAGATTACTTTTTTAATTTTAAAACCTATGACCTTCATGACTGCGAAAACGAAACTAGAGTACAAGTGAAGGGAACAGTAAGCTCCTTTTTTGAAGTATTATATTATATTACTATAGTACTTTCGTACGTATACATGTACATTATTGTAAAGATAAATAGAGATTTTCATGGAACCAGGTCTTAGTAGAAGTTGGTTGTCCCTTCGTACTAAGTTATGTGCTGCCTCTTTAATTTTTACAAAATTTGTTCCATTGATGTGATGTGCCAAGTCAAGTGCAAAATGTTTTTCATCCCATTTATATATATTTATCACTTAAACTTAAGCACACATACCTTTGAATAAAATACAGTAAAATGCTGAATATAAGATATTTCTTTACAATTTTTTCTACTTTCTTTTTAAATATACCGAAATTATGAGATAGATTTAAGCCATTTGTTAGCTTACATAACATACTTTATATGAATCAGAATATGTCTGCCCCTGCCCGTTTTGTTACCCCTTTTTATACCTTAGCATTTGATTTAATATTGTGGGGGTTGTGAACGTTATTGTCTCTTGTTCTCATATTTCATATTATTTTTACTTCCTTTGATATACAGAAATCAGAACGAACATGAAAAAAAATGGCTGAGGGAGGTGATTTGGCTTCAATAAAAGATGGCTCGGATGTTGACTTTGAGTACACTTGCACTCCATGTGGGTATGATGATATCCGAGAAGAGGCTGTAAAGTATTGTCCCGTATGTGACGAATATCTGTGTACATCATGTACACGACAACATGGTCGGCTTAAACTTTTACGGTCACATACGTTACAAGATTATGATGCTTCAACAAAAGGGTCAACGGTAACCATGGTTACCAAGTGTCGTTATCATCCAGATCGTGACATTGAAATGTACTGTGGAGAACATGATATGGTGTATTGCACGAAATGTATTGCAACAAATCACAGGTTTGTTTATATTAAGTATTTAGCGTATTTATACTTTCTCTCCCTTGTTTGTTTTAGAGAAAACGTAGTTTTAGTTTTGAAGAATGGTATGCTGGCTTAAGTGGTCATATGTTCATTTGTCCTAACTGTGACTCTGATTACAGTGTGTTCTCTTGTTGCAGTTATACGTGTTTTCAAATGTATATTATACACTTTGTCATTTATGTTGAGTGTAGTCAAATTGAATACTTAGTAATGAATTGTTATGTTAGCGTAACATAATACCCCGTGTCATATTAAAAAAATAAAATAAAA